TGAGATCGACCCGTGGCTCAACGTGGAAGAAGGTAGAAGACTGCTGGAAGGTCTAAGAAACACGCGTCTACAGTCAAATTAGGTAAGACATCTACCATATTCTTATGTTTTCTAATAGTTCTCACTAATAACTTATTTGTGTTAGTTTGAGATATTAGATCTTGTCGAACGATGAAATCATAGCGGTTCTACCTTAAGCCTCGTTTTGAAAAAAATATACCAAAAACCAATCCGCGAGTGGTGTAGATAGCCCCAAATTTGTTTGGGTGGGCTGTGGAAAGAAAGATTTCAATAGATGCTAAGACTGTCGAGAGCATTCTGTCGACAATTACTGGGGTATGTGTACTCATACCGATCAGCTGCAGCTCGAACCATTGGTGTGCTCTTATGATCGACATCGCAAGCCATATTGTGTATATCTACGATCCAATGAAATCAAACTATCTGACCAGCGCTCGAGTGGAAGCAGAATGACTTATTCCGATACTAGCAACAACCACGGGAGAAAGGTTTCAAGTGCAAGCGTACGAATTTGACATGGAGATTGAATTGGACAGCTACAACTGCGGGTTGTTTATTTACTTGCATTTCAACAGTTCACAGGTGCGCCACCACTCGGGTGGATGGACAAGAAGCTGCTGATGTATCTGCGCTATAAATATCTTTGCTTGTGTCCTTACTAAATATACACATTTACTTTCTTTCAGACTTGTAGAAGTTCGCATGCTCGGGTACACAAGCGCTTGCTTGATTTGGCTAAGAAAACCTTTATCCGTCTATATACGCTGTCGCGGAAAAAGGGTGGGCAAACTGGCTTTTGACTAGTCGGGTTCCCGTTGGTGCAGTCGGGCGTTGGTCGGGTACTTTTGCCTCGTCTCACATCTCCCTGGCGGGTGCAGCAACACGTGCCTTGTATTATTAAAGTTCTTCCCATCCAAGAAGCCCCACAGCCAGTGATGCCGATCACACAGTTTGTTCTATAAATGGTTAGGTGTTCGATTGTTCAAACACGTTAAAACGTGCCATCGTTGCGTGCTCGCGAAACCAAGAAACGATAAAACGAAAGAGCCAAAATGATGAATACCTTCATAGTGAAGAGCCGTCACTTGTTGGACCTTCTCACTCTAGATAGTGGACTTTACATCGGTTTCGCAGGGATTTAGGCCATACAAATATTAGGTAAAGGAATTTGTCCCTCCTCCGACCAGATGGCGTGAGCAAACCGTTGACACAACGATCACCCGGCAGATCATATATATAATTCTAGGTCCATCTCCTCGAGTTTTACTATAGAGAAGCTCATATTAGTAGCCCCCTAAAAAATGTCATGTCTTTCCGGACTACGCATCGGCTAATATTGATTTCAGCCACTCTGCGACGATGTCACTTCTGTGCAAAACCCTAACTATTAGAGGTCTGTGGGTGCTTTAACACACGGATGGCTGTGCGTAACGATGTGCGTATCAACATATCGATGATTATGGCCGCTTCAATGGTACCATTTCCAGTACGATAGCGATCGGTACTGTATGATTTTTTTGAGATGTTTATGGCTCGTTTCATTTACTATCATAAAAAATCTATAAAAATTACTCTTTATTGCACATAATTTACTATTGTGGATTTTTTTCACAAGCTTACCATTTCGAATTTTCTACTTAAAAATTTGTTGCAGCTCTAACAGCTTTTTAGAAAATACATGTCGTAGGACCTCTTTTCGTATTTACAACCAAATGAATGGCCAAACTGACGACAAACGTATGTAACCATTATTGACCCCACGCATATTCCACGCTACATTGATTCAAATTTATTACTATACTATACGCTCACACCTTGTTTTTGGCCTTTCTTACGTTAATAGTTGCTGTGGCTCTTATCGGCTCTTTGGAAAATACAGATATTACGACCTCTTTTTGTTTTTACAGCCAAATATTCGACCAATTTGGCGACTAACTTATGTGGCCAGCGTTCCTTTCACGCAGATCCCGTGCTTAACTGACTGGAATTTTCATTTCAACACTAACAATCGTCGGCATTACTAATTGTTACAGAGTGTTGATTATAGCTCACTGTGCATTTATATTAGCTATTGTTGATCGCTCTAATTTAAACTAAATCGAGCCTGTCACTTTACATTTTGCCTTTTAGCACCATGGCTATCAAACGGCGCGGTTACGACTCCGACTCCGACGGCAACGATCGCCCTTTCAAGATTCCTCGCACCCGTGCAGCCATTCGACTGGACACCATAAAAAACATGGCTTCTACCAATCGTAGCCTTGATAAGGAACTCGACTACCTTTTATAGGAGCTCAAGGCCGCGTATGCTACTATCGACCGACTACAAAAACATTTGTTCGCTAAGGAAATGTTTGGGTCTGACGAAGAGGAGGACAGCGACGAAGGCGGCGAAAACGATGAAGAGCCATGGTTCGTAGAGACTTACGAGGAGAATGCGAATGAGTGCATCATCTATTTGACCTACGAGAGTGACTAAACCTTTGATACAGGATTGTTCCCATTCTTTTTTCATTATTACCATTTATTTTGTTTTTAAATTATACATAAAAAATACGTTTCGCTTTTTCTTGACACAAGTCATACATTCTATGCACACATTAGGGAATGGACGCAAATGACGCAACTCCGGATATATGTCGAGCCTTTGACTCCATTCAGGTTACGGCGGGCTGCGGCTCTCACTTTGCAATTTTACTACTTGCATCTACTGCCTCTCAATTTGCTATACTCTCGACTACAGCCAATGGACTCTCAAGACAAATGGAGCGCCCTTGAGGCTAAGTACGGCACGCCATCCGGCTACGAGGACCCTCGCCTTAAGACCCTCCGTGTTGCCAACCGCCATACGGCTCGCTCTCGCCTCCAGAGACGCCAGATCGAGAGAGCCGTCCGGACTATTCGTGGAAATTCTACTGTCGCTGGCTCTGCGGCTGTGCCTTTCACGCAGATTGAGCTCGGCGTCCTCGCACGTCGCTACGCCTCTCTTGTCCTACCTGAAAACGAACGGGCTCCTGGCTGTTGCCGGAAGCGGGATAGCAGCTCAATTTCTAAGCGGGGGTCGCACGGCCCATACGACGTTCTGACTCCCGTGGGCCCCGATGAAAGTTCTACGTGCAACTTTGGTGTCCGTTCTTCCGAAGCTGCGATGCTGAAGAGAACAAGCCTTATTGTTTGGGATGAGGCGCCTATGACACACCGCTTCCAATATGAAGCTGTTGATCGCACGCTTCGAGATTTGCTCAAGAATGATAAGCCCTTCGGTGGCGTGACGATGCTTCTATCGGGAGTTTTTCGCCAGACACTTCCCGTTATTCCTCGCGCGGGCCCTGCTGAGGTTATAGCAGCTTCGTTGAAGAAATCAACATTATGGAGGCACTTCGAGTGCTTCCGTCTTACTACGAACATGAGAGTTTAGACCTACAGAATGACCAAACAGCGGAAGAGATGCAAGCGTTTGCGGATTACATACTGCGCATTGGAGATGGCAGACACGACACGTCTCCCGGGCTAGACAAGGATTTCGTCAAGATTCCGCAGGACATATTATTGAACCGTGCCCCGCATAGCGACGACGAGGCCGAAGATATCAACGAACAAGTCGGCCGAATGTCAAGACTTTCGAGATTAATTGATTCTGTCTACGCGGATTTTAACGAGGGACACCAGCCTGACAATTACTTCGCAGAGCGGATAATTCTCACACCCAAAAACGCCGACGTCTAGCCATTAACGATTCGATTCTTGACATCCTGCCCGGTGATGCGCAGGAATACCGATCTGTGGATACCCTAGAGGGAGATGACGAGCTTGAGCGGCAAGAACGCAGCGATCTTTACCCTCTTAAATTTCTGAGCACAATTTCACTCAGCGGTATGCCTCCTCACAAGCTTCGTCTTAAGATCGGTACGCCAGTGATGCTGATTCGAAACATTAGCACAAAGTAAGGGCTCTGCAACGGGACACGATTGCGCGTGGTATCTCTAAGAAGAAACTGCATCGAGGCTGTCATCATGGGTGGGAGCTTCGCGGGCACGACAGTCTTGATACCAAAAACTGCACTGATTAGCAAGAGCTCAGGATTCCAAATCGAACTGCGGAGGAAACAGTTTCCTGTCCAGGTGGCATTTAGGATGACAATCAACAGGTACCAAGGCCAGTCTTCACAGATACTGGGTCTTTACCTCCCGAAGCCGGTAATTTTACACGGACAGTTTTACGCTGCGGTTTCTCGAGGTACGGCTCGACAGAACATTACTATTTTTGGCAGAGAACCCTGCTTCGACGGAAACGGTGTGTACACCAAAGACATTGCTTACAGAGAGTTTGTAGTTTAATTTAATTAGGAGCAAGGATTTTTATTCCCGTCGAGCGTTGCGAGGCGGCCTAATTAAGTTGGACCAACCCGCCAAGCGAAGCGAGGCCTCACGCTTCATCTCGGCCTCAACTTGCCCAAAGAGCCCCGCTTGCGGGGCTCCGCTCGGCTTGCTGCTTCATAATTCGTTCTGTTTTGTTCATCAAACAAAATTGGGCAACACTGCCACAGCTGACCTGATTCTAGCTGTCGCATTTGATTTGTTTTACAAACTGGGTATCCCAGTTTATCATAGATACCGGTAGCCGACAGTGACATATGCGACGGGTCTCAATAAGTCGTTAAGCACATTTATGGAAGGGTTTATTATATGTGTGATAAAGAGGGGGATAAAAACAGAGATTAAAAAGAATGTACAGTACCACTTCTAAACTGAGTAACCATTTCGGTGCGCATTAAACCAATTTGTCAAAAAAAATTAAATACTGATTAAACTGATCAAACCGTCAAATATGGCAACCAATATAAAGAAGAAAAAAACCTGTAATCGTACTTAAATGAGGGTTTGTTCCTCTAAAAGTAATCCTTTTAAGTCCGACTTCGGTCACTCGTGGACTTGACGCGGGGAAACCTACCTAGCAGGTCGGCAAGTGATCTCTTCGCCATGTCTTCCGCTTCCGATGCTTCTCCGCCCGATCCGTGCTGCATCTGCATGAGTATGGACGACTACCAAGGAACGCTTCTCGTCCAGTGCGTGCGCTGCTCCATCCGCGTGCACGTCAAGTGTTACGGCGTGAGTATCGAGGGCGGCAACGCGGCGTCGTGGCTCTGTCAGGCCTGTGAGTACGTCACTTCGGCTCCATCGCCGTGCCCGACGCCTCAGTGTGCCGTATGCCCCATCGCAGGCGGTGCGCTGCGTCTCACAGACCAGCGCGACGTCTGGTGCCACGTACTGTGTATCAATTGGATCCCGGAACTATATCACAGTCTGACAGGCGTCATGGACGAAGCCGTAAAGATCTCGCTGTATGAAAAAAGTCGCAGTACACTTCGCTGTGTGATCTGCGGCGTGCGTGGCGGCTGCATCCAGTGCGTCAGCGGGCGCTGCGCCAAGGCCTTCCACGTCGTCTGCGCCTTCCGATCTCCTTCCAGTCTCGTCTTCACAGGCTACAATTCACAGAACCAGCAGGTGTATCACTGCAAGACACATCTATCCGACGTGGACACGACCAAGTACGAGATGGTGGACAACTCGTGGCGTGCACTGCCCGAAGCTAAGAAATACGAGGAGGAACACCCGCCCACGACTGAGCCCAAGTGTCGCTTTTGCGGGAATAAAGTGACGTTACCCAATAAAGAGGGCCACGAGACTCAGTGTCTGCTTGGGTGGATGACTCGCTCTGATGCGCGCAAGAGGAAGCAAGAACTGGACCGACTGGGCGTGAAAGCTGTGGAAATTGTGTGCCAGGACACGGAAAAGTCACCAGCCAAGAAAGGCAAGAGGAGTAAGAGCAGCCCCAATGCTCGCAAGAACACCAGAGAGACCAATGGCAAGTTTAAACGACAGGAAACGCCCATGCGGCCGTGTCCGGAGTGCGGCGAGCACATCCGCGAGACGCTGATGATGGGCCATATGCGAAATAGTTGTCCTAAGAGTAAGCACGCCATGAAGCGCAAGATGTCGCCCCGTAACGGCACCCAGGAGGACGTGGAGGTAGCAGACATGACGGACGTGCTGTTCGCTTCGTGGCCTGGACAGAATAGTGGAGCTCCAATGGACTCGACGTACTTTTGGAAGGTCGTGGAAAGCCATTTCTACAAGAGCAGTGTGCTGGAGAAGAAGCGCATGGGGCAATTATGTAAGAGTCTGTGTGGTATGAAGCTGGAGGATAGCATCAAGCGTCGACGGCCTCTGCAGGCGTCGGATATTCACTGTCGAGACACAATACGGCTGGAGCGCAATGCCGAGGACCCGACGCAGACTCTTGTGCTCCAAAAATGTACGCACAAATGCGATTTCCTGATGCGAGCAAGTCACTGTCGATGTCTAAGCGACCCCCTCGCGAAGCCGATGATCGAGATACGGCATAACGCAGAGTGTACAAAGCCAAGGAGCGACCAGACTGGCGGTTCCGGTTCAGCTCACGTACCAGACGGCGCTGAGGCCAACATGCGTGTACAATTTAAGAACGGAGAGAACGCAATCGTGGCTTGCAAGTACTCGATGCGCGTTTCGCCGGATAGCGACTCCATGAATCAGCACGCAGCAGACAACGGGACGTTCGCGAGCACTTTCCTGCATGACGCAGTGTCGACGTTGGCCGGATTTGACATGCAGACGAAGAAAGTGCCTTTGGCTCCGGACGATAAGCTGCTGATCTCTTTGGATTCCTGTGACCAAGTGGAGAGTGTACAGCTGGGCAACAATGACGAGATTAATTCGCAAGCTATGAGCATTGTATCTGTTCCTGCCGACACTTCGTTGACCGATGAATTTACGCCTGCGATCAACCTGCTTCTGGAACATTTGAAAGGCACGACGGAGCAAAACCGCAGTCGTATCCGCGCGTTATACAAGAAGCTGAAATCTGACGAGGACAAAGCGAACGAGTTTCAGCTCAAGGCGCAGACAACGGACCTGTATTACCGCGAGTTTGCAGCTTGGAAGCGACTATGCTCGAGCTTGTTAATCGGCTATAGAAGGGGAGAGCAGCCTGAAAAAGACAAGAAAAACGCAACTGAGAGTGACGAACAAGGGGGATCAACGGAAGACGAGGACGACGCCGTCGATGACGGAACTTGCGTCGTGTGCTTCGATGGCCAGTCCCCGGAAACGAATCCAATTATTTTCTGCGATCGATGCGAGCTGGCAGTCCACCAGCGCTGCTACGGAATGGCGAAAGTCCCTAGCAATGAATTTATTTGTGATCGCTGTCGAGCCATGCGAGAAGGACTCGACCCAGCACGGGATGTTTTCTGCCAGCTCTGTTCGTTAAGTGACGGTGCGTTCAAACGTACTATTGATGGGAAATGGGTCCATGTGGTGTGTGCGCTGTGGTGTCCGAAAGTTTGGATTGGCAACCTGTTCGAGCTCTCGGAGATTAGTCTGGTTGGAACCACAAGCCAAGTGCGGTTCTTGGACTCAGTCAAAGAGATCGAAGCACGCATCGTTCAAGCTTCGAGCGGGCAACACCAAACAAACACTCCGAAAAACGGAGATCATCCGGAGGTTCCCGCTATCGAGTTGGGGAGTCTGTGCGTTCACTGCAGAGTTGCTTGTGGACGCACGGTCCAGTGTTGCCATCCAGACTGTTCGACGTCTTTTCATCCACTTTGCGGCTGGTACGACGGTCTGCCCATGACGATTTCGCTTGGGGACGAGAGATACATGTACGCTGGAGGCGGAGCAGGACTGAACTTCCAGATGTTGTGCTCGGGACATTTGCCCGAGCATTATCCTGCGTCCGAACAGCTTGCCCAACGACGTCGACGAGCGCGATTCCGTATCGATTCGTACTTCGTTATGCGAAACAAAGACAACTACAGCAGCGGCGCGAAGAAGCAGACAGACGACGCGTCTTCGTTGCTGTCAGGATCGATTGTCCAGGCTGTGCTTTCTGCGGAGAGCAAGTTAACTGCCACCGAGACTGACTCTACCGCGACCGATTGGACCGACCTGACCGTCTGCTCTGCGTGCTTTGAATACTGCGCGCCTCTTGTTGGAGAACTCACGGACGTCAATATGCTGCATCGAAGGCAGTTTATGATTCGGTGTCAGTACTGCAACGTCTACATCCACCCAGAGTGCTGTATCTCCGACATAGGCTCTTCCGCCACGATCTTTAGAAGTAACTGGATCTGCGAGCGATGCACACAAACGGGTGGCAATGGGACGCCCGAGTGCGTCGTGTGCGCTAAAGCCACCGACTACTTGATGCCGTGTATCGACCCTCCTGTCCCAGTGAACCAGGCGAACGGGAAAAGTCATACTGGCTCAAAGGCAGCGATCACAGCCATTTGCCCAGCGGCAGGTGGAGGCCAGCAACTTTGGCTACAGAATATGCAGCGACAGGTGGGCAACAGCAAACCTCCATTACAGCCAAAGGGACCGGAAAGTAACGGGGTAACCTCCCATCCTTCGCCGAATAAATGGATCCACGTGTACTGCGGCAAGTGGCAGAAAGCGAAGACAGTCAAGAGACAACACATGCTCTGTGCGTATACGCCAGCGCTGAAACCCGAAGGAATGGCGACAAGATGCGAGTTTTGCGACAAGAAGGAGGGGCTGCTTGCAAACTGCGCGCAATGCTCTCGTCGCTTCCATCCGATTTGTGCCGCACAGAAGAAACTGTACTGCGCTCGATCGAATCGCTCAGACTGGAAGTTTTATTGTGAGGCGCATCCGCCGCCTGACGCAGCGTTCGATGTGAACCGCCAGTCGTGGATCACGCAGGAGATTTTAGGGCAACTACAAGATCTACGTCGCTCCCTCGAGCGTGGAAGAATGCTGCTTGAAATGTCCCGACAGCGAGATCGTCAACACAAGCGTCTGCTGAATCTTTGCAAGCTTCCGCTCATGGAGACTGTCATTGACGTGATCTTGAAGAAGCGGCCGACACCTCAAATGAAGGAAGTGTATCGCGAACTGACAGGAGAGTCTTTGACGGACGTACCTCATCGTGCCAAGGTGGCTCCAGCAGCCTCACGTAACTCGCGAAACCGGGTCAGAAACAGTCGAGCAGCTAAGCGCTCGGCGTCGCAAGCTGCAGCTGCGCCCGAAAGAAGTCCGAAGCGCCGACGAACGCGTGCGGATTCGGTCGATTCGAGCACTGGTGAGCAAACGCCACGACGGAGTTGTCGACGGAAGCCCTTACGCTTTGATCAAGAAGGCTCCGAGAACGAGGACGAAGAGGATCAAGAAGATGAGGCGGAGGCTCAAAAGAAGGTGTGGGAGAATCTCGCTGTGCCCACGGAAGTCGATGATTTTGACTTTATCGTGGCTGAACATTACCCTGAGCTGGTGGTACGTGCTTGATCGAGGAGGATGCAGCTATGAATTGTGTTCGGACTGATGTTGGTTCGTGTCGTGTGTTGTAGCAGGATTAGTCCTATCCAAGTGTTGTGCGGGAGGTGTGGTAATAAACATCGGTGACCGAAACGGCCACAATATTTTTAGAGTACGTTGGGGTGTTGGAGTTGTATTTGAGTGGCATGATTGATGGCAAAAGGCAGGCGATAGCAAAATGAGCGAAACGACTGAAAGCGAAGGAACAGATAAAGAAGAACTCGTGCAGTTTAGCAGTCATGACGGATTGGCGAGTTTGTTTGCCAGCCCAGCGCCGTCGACTGCCGGGACAATCGAGAGCAGAGAGGAAGTCCACAACTGCGATGAGTGGAATCTATTTGCCGACGCTGCCTTGGACCCGTTCGAGATGGCTGACAATGAGGACTCGCGAGACGATCAGAGCGATGAGGAAGCTGCTGAGCTGAGTGTGGAGGGCGACGCTGCTATCGGTTTGGAGACATCTCAACAGGACGATACCGAGAGACAGGACACGTCGGCGAATGACGCAGCTATACAGATTCCCCCGTCTCCTCAAATCGATGGCAATGTCGTTTCGAACTCAGCCGCTCCGCTTAAAGGACCAGCGCCACAGCGCGAGGAGAGCGGCGATGTGCATCGGCGAATCCAAGTTGTCGTTCGCGTCCGACCTCCGTCCAACGGTGAAGGCAAAGTCGTCGTCACTGCGGGTGTGAAGGAGGGAACCAGTTTGTGCGTCCAAGCGACAAGCACTCAGGGTGGCAGCAGTGTCGTGACGGAATGCACATTTGATCGGGTGTTCATGGGTGGTGCGACGCAAGAAGACGTGTTTGCAGCCATCGAACCGAGCGTACAAGCGTGTCTGGAAGGATACAACGCCACCGTCTTCGCATACGGCCAAACTGGCACAGGCAAGACACACACTCTATTCGGTCAAGACTTGGATTCTCCTAGCGACAAGAGCAAGTGGGGAGTTGTACCTCGCACACTCCGCTATTTACTAGACCAAGCAGCGAGCTTAGAGCAGAAAAGCGGCCAAGTCGAGCTGCACTTGAGCTTCCTGCAGATCTACAACGACCGTCTCTTTGACGTCCTCACGGATCGCATGAGACAGAAGCCTCTGCTTCTACGGGAGCAGCCAGCAATAGATGGGACGACTTGCATTACCGTTCGGGGCCTATCCAGCGAGAAGATAACGTCGTTCTCGAACGCCATGCAGATTATCCACCAAGGACACACCCGTCGCTGCGTTCGTGAGACCGAGTTGAACTTGTCGAGTAGTAGAAGCCACGCTATCGTCCAGCTCAATGTCACGACGCATTGTCCAGCGCTTAACGGAGAGGGGCGAGTTCTTCGAAAGGCGAGACTGAATCTGGTGGATCTCGCGGGCTCGGAGAAGTGGAATACTGACGTGGAAATGGAAGATGTGCACTCACAGGAGCTGAAAAACATCAATGCGAGTCTGTCAGCACTGGGAAACTGCATTGCAGCATTGGCCGAGACCGGCAGGAAGCACATTCCGTACCGAGATTCGACGTTGACGCGCGTGTTGCAGGACTCTTTCGGAGGGAACACGCAGTCGTGTTTGATCGCTACGATCAATGCAACACAACAGACGAGTGACGAGACGATTCGAACGCTGCAGTTTGCAGATCGAGCGAGGTGTGTGCTGCAGACAATTCGTGTGAACGAAGTAGCGGATGGCTCGAGTGAGCTGCTGATGGCCAAGATTCAGATTGTGAAATTGCGGGAACGATTGGAGAGTGAACAGCGAAGGAGACATGACGTACGCGTAAAGGAGCAGCAGACCCTGCGGAGAGACTTCCAGGAAATAATTAAAGGGAAAGATAACGAGATCACCAAATTGACGAGGGATAATGTAGTTTTCCAGAGATGGAGAGACGAGGACGTAAAGAAGATCCGCGCTCTTGAGAGTCGAGTCAAGCACTTAGAGCAGAAGATCGACTCGAGTGACGCTGCTCCCAGCACGGCAAGTCAAGGATCCAAACGACAGAGCTCATCAATTCCTGAAGCGACCAACACCCAAGTGCGAAGAACCCGGTCGCGAACGAATCTTACGAGAGCTGGAAGCGACCATAGCGCCGCTACTGGAACGTACAATCAAGATTTAGAACGCTTCACACTCGGCTCCAGTAAGGAGCAGCAAACATTAGAAACACAACGCAAGTCTGCGTTCGGCCAGAGTGACCCAGCCCACGACGCAACCAATCAAGTTGAAGATCCTGCCAGTGCCCAGTCAGCTCTCGACATGAGCTCCCCGTCCAACCACAAACCGAACTGGAAACCTCCTCATGGTGGCAGAGTCAACGTTTCCAGATACCAAGCCTCGGAATTGTGTGTCTCGCCAATAAATCACTGCTCAAGTGAAAAAGCCGTGCCCTTAGCTTCGGCTTACACTATCAAAACCGAATGGACGTGCTCGATACAGACGTCGAAATCAACGCCAGCCATTTTGATCCATCAGCAAGAACGCAACCAGAAACGCGCCAATGCGAGCTCAATAAATGGCTACAGTAGCTCTGTTCCGAGACAAGAGACCTTATCATTGGTGAAGAACGCTAGCACTGGAAACCTCAGCTACAAGTTGCCTGCGTGTGCACCAATAGTCAGCACAACTGCAACCGAGCAGTGTCTGAAGCACAAACTCGCCGGGTGCATGTTGTGCTCTGTGGCGAACGGCTGTCGACAAACGCAAGCAATCGCTCGACAACCAGTCACGACTGGTGCAGTGGTACTCAACTCACCTGAAATGACCCGGAAATCGCAGGATGGTCCCTGTGAGAGACATCAACTGCTACGCTGCTTCATCTGCACTAAAAGCAGCAGCGTGACTTCTTCCTCGGGTCAGGCAACAGCGGTCTCTGCTTGTGTCTTATCTACGAGTAGCATAACAAGTCGGAGTTGCCAGAATTCCCGACTCCAAGGTGATACTCAGTCCAAGTGCGCTCTCCACTCGCTCGCCAACTGCATTCTGTGCGCTGGGGTCAAGGCAATGACCCGCAAGGTGGTGGTCCCGAGTCCTGAAGCGTCGCTAGCTACAGCTACTGCTGATTTTGAGGCGAGAAGTGCAATGCACGTGGAAAAGCGCCATTTGGATCGATATCGACGATACACGCTCGATGAAAGGATACTCGACTATCCATACAAGGCGCAGCCTAACTGTAAGCTAGCGAATCAATGGTGACAGGCAATTCACTTCAAGTGTAGCCATATTTGCCCAGATAGACCTGGTTTTGTTCATATCTAGTCCGAATAGAATTACATGTAGCTCTATGCTATTAATATGCTTAAACTCTGCTTTGGCGTCTAAAACTAGCAATAGGACGCTCGCACTGCGTCAAAACGGGGCATGCGTCAAAACAAAACGTGGTTGAAGTCACGCCCCTACACCTTTTTATCTTACAGTTTGTATCGGCTAAAAGCTTCAAGCTCCAACTCATGAGCAGCTCATTTGACGATTCCGCTCGTTGTCGTCACTTGTTACTCGCGATTTCGCTATGATTGACGCCTCGTGGGACTCGCTGTCGTATCTGCCGGGCTTCGGCAATGATTTCTGCTCTGAGGCGCTTCCTGATGCGCTCCCCAAGGCGCAGAACAACCCGCAGAAGGTTTGTTCAAAATAAAAAAATGCTGCAATATTTACTCATTGTCAATGATGATGTCTGGTGTAGTGCGCATACGGACTGTACGCGGAGCAGCTCTCGGGCACTGCGTTCACGATGCCGCGTCACAAGAACCAGCGCAGGTGCGGCGTTCGTTGCACAGTGTCATAATTGTGAGAGACTAACGTGGAATTGTTCTGCAGTTGGCTGTACCGGATCCTGCCCCCAGTAGTGCACGAGAAGTACCAGGAGGTGGAACACCCGTTCGTCAAGGCAGACTTTGCTAAGGAGAAGCTCACACCGCAGCAGATGCGGTGGAAGCCCATGCCCTTCCCTGCAGACTCGGAGAAACTGGACTTTATCGACGGACTCCGCACCATTGGTAACGATCGCTTCGTATTGCAATTGCTGCAAGACGAGTTGAGCTGACTGGTACCTTGGTGTTTTAGGCGGAGCCGGGGATCCGACGATGAAGGCAGGGATGGCCATCCACATGTACGCTGCCAATGTATCCATGAAGGACAAGTGCTTTTACAACTCGGACGGAGACTTTTTGATCGGTGCGTTGTTGATATTTCGAATTGGCTCTTAGCTCATTGCTAAATATTGCAAAACGCAGTTCCTCAAACGGGCGACCTCAAGATTACGACGGAATTTGGTCGACTTAAGGTGTCGCCGCATGAGATCTGCGTCATTCAGGTACACACCATGCGATTATGGAGAACAAGATGAAGCATTTTGCTGACCTACAGTTGTATGTTGCTATAATTTAGCGTGGAATCCGCTTCTCAGTTGAGCTGGACGGACCCTCTCGTGGCTACATTCTGGAAGTGTACAACCGTCACTTCATCCTGCCAGATCTCGGTCCTATTGGAGCTAATGGTTTAGCTAACCCACGAGACTTCGAGCACCCGAGCGCTGCCTACGAAGACCGCGATTGCGAATATTTGGTCGTCAACAAGGTAGGCTACCAGTGCGTTGCACGATACTGCGAAAGTTAAAGCTGACTTGTATTTTTCAAGTTTGGTGGACAATTGTTCTCAGCTCGCATGGCCTTCTCTCCGTTCAACGTAGTGGCTTGGCATGGAAACTACGTCCCATACAAGTACAATCTGGACAAGTTCTGCACGATGAACTCGGTGAACTACGACCACCCGGTAAGAAAAGTGAAAACTGTAATATCTTTCCGAAGTTATTTACCAACGTACTTTAATTTCTGCAGGACCCCTCGATCTATTGTGTCCTCACGTGCCAAACAGATGAACCAGGCAATGCAGTGGCAGACTTTGTCATTTTCCCGCCTAGATGGATGGTACGTCAGTCAATTTACCATCGTTTCGCATTTGTATTTTTTTTCTAACTGTAAGTGTCGATCTGTAGGTTCAAGAGCACACGTTCCGTCCTCCATACTTCCACCGCAACTGTATGAGCGAGTACATGGGAATGATCTACGGTACCTACGACGCCAAGAAGGGAGGAGAGGATGGATTTGCGCCGGGTGGTGCTTCTCTTCATAGCGTTGACACGCCACACGGTCCGGACGCTGCAACGTTCCTTGCTGCTTCTAATGCGGAGCTCAAACCCCATAAATTCGATGGTGGACTCGCGTTCATGTTCGAGTCGACGTACCTGGTCAAGTTGACGAACTATGCGCTTCACTGCGACCACAACGACGAGAATTACTGGAAATGCTGGCAACAAATGCCAAAGCTTTTCAACCCCAAGCAGGCCTAGGACAGAGTAGCAGGACACTGACCTGTATCTGAAAAAAAAAACTGCATTAATACTCCCTTTGAGTTCTATGAATCTCGCTGCATGACGAGCGCTACGCCGGCCAGCGTCCACTTCGCCTTCGGTTGGATTGTGTTAAGTGTAGCCAGGAACACGTACGTCGGTCCTCGCAGTGTTGTCTGGTACACAGGACAATCAAATACCTCCTTATTGCGTCGGAAATGACCCACTGCTGTGGCTTCCCACTTGCTGTCAATCACCACAGCTCGTGCATAGATTACAGGTGCAGCAGGCAACAGCTCCTTCGGCATGGGGTCCACCAAATGTCCACCACAAGCAATGGAATCGACATCGTACGAGAAGGGTGACGTCTTTTCGCCGTCTTTCATTGGGAACTCCCATCGTGCGCCTTCCATGAACAAGCCGTGGATGTATGCGCCCATTTCAGGATAGGATTCGACGCCCTCAGCTTCTGTGATTGGAGTCACATGTGTTTCGATAGCCATGGAGTCGAGCGGAATACCGTGGGTTCGTGCGGTGCACTGCTTGATAGCAGTGAGGAACGCGGTAGGATTAAAGAGCCCCGAGATCCACATCGAATACGGCAACCGGAACTCACTCGTCCAGTTCGAGAGGAACTGGATGCGATCCAACAGATCTGCGAACCAAAGAGACAACGACTTACGAGACCACCACGCGTAGCGCTCCCAGGAACACATGTGCAGCACATTGCGACCAGGTACTTGGTTGATTAACAAAGCCGCCATGAGATCTTCCATCGGTTCCGTCATGTTCAACGTGCCTTGAATTCCTTTCGTGAGCTCAATCAGGCTACTTTGAATTTCGTGGAGCAGTGTGTGCATACGAGCTGCTTCTTGCAGTGCAACCACAACGTACGGAGATTGATCCGTTGTCAGAAGCGGTTCTGCCTTTGCTTGTAAGTCAGCAAGGTCAATCTCTGGTGGAAGTTTTTCCAGTAGATCTTCCACAATCGCATACACTTGGGCGTTTTCGCTTACTGCTCCACCTGAACTCGTTGCTGCAGAGCCACTAGGAGGCGTAGATGGCCCTGCAGATGGCTGGGACTTGGCAATAGTTGCGAATAATTCGTTGGCCGCCTCTACCAGATACCCCACTTCTGCGTTAGGATGTAGTCCGTACACCGTAGGCGATTCGCTTGGCAATTGCGTTTCAATGTGGTCGACATACTTGCTATAGCTGTAAGTGAATGGATCTGGGCATTTGAAGCCAGCAGTGAGCTCCTTGCCCTGCAGAATTTCTCGGGTGAAGACTTCGTTTAGATACGTGTTGTTAGTGATACGGTCCCAATGGTCCGTGATGTGTCCTCCATACATGATTTCACCGAAAATGTAGCGCAAATCGTCCCATGGTAAGCTCTTCGACCTGCTAGTCGCCGCAGTGTCAAGGTACCGTCGAAGTACGTCCGAGCAGATGAGTAAGTCTCCGGTGTTGAAGCTGTACGGACGACTCCATCCTTGACACCCGAATCTTCGTCGTCCCAATACCAGCGCGTGGAAGAAACACAGTGCGAATAAACAGCCTTGATACTCGTTAGGCTGCGCACAGTCTTCGAGTTGTTGGACAGAGAAATTAGCCCACGCACGACGCAAATTGCTCTTCAGGTCGGTCGGAGCTTCGTTTGCAACTTTTGAAGTAGCGACTCTGGCAGGTTACTGAGCGATGCTAACGCTGGCCCCTCAGAAGACAGAAAACATCGGAAATTCTGGTCTGCAGACACAGAGTAAACCTCCAGTGAGCGCTCCAACCTAGGTAACCATGATTGCATCAGATGGATATTCTGAAGGATCACCCAGCTTCCTTCCCGAGAGGATTTCATAAGTGTATTGTCAGCATATTCCTCCTGTCCTTGACCCATCGAAATGTTCGTAAGATTTCCTCGTTCGTACGTGAACTCAAACTTTTTACCAAGTGTTTCCACCCACGAGGTTGGATCAACACCAGAAAATAATACGAAGAACATCGGAGTTGAGGCGCTAGTTTCTTGATACGCAGCCTCCATGTCAAAAGGAGGCTGTTGTACCATCTGCTTCCCAAAAGTATCACTGAGAAAGGATCTCAGGGCAAAGATCATTCGATCCGGACGCAAGACCCGGACAAGGTGCAGCAACTGGATTGGTGTGACCGATGTTTTGAATTGCCCCGGAAGAGGCTTCAACTCCGGCTTTTCCGCATCGCACCATTCTCTCCACTCGTCACTATCAGACCGCATGAGCGTCGTGAGCTTCTGCAGCCCTGCTATGCTTTCTTCAAGTTTACGCACGCGCAGCCACACCGTCTCGGTCATCCACTCGCTAAGAAGTCCCATTCCTGAGCCCATGTCACTCGCAGTACCGCAAGTCACGAGCTGCCGTACATCGACTGCCTCGATCTTCATTTCGGACCGCAAAATTGCAAAGCACAGCTGTGTGGCTAAAGTCAGCTTATCCTTCTCGAAAAGACCACGACGAATGTAATTAAAAACAACGTCGGTGATGGAGTTTTTGAGCTGTGTGCACCGCGCTTCGACCTGGGCATTTGAAGGCATTTCTTGCTGATCTGTTTCTTTCATGAGAACATCCAGATCTTGTTCGGTATTGCTGTCCACGACTCGATCTGCCAATAGTAAATCCGAATTCCACTGAAAGCGTTGCGAAACGATAATCTTCTTAGCAGCAGCCTTTAAGCGACCGAGTAGCCCACCGCCACTTGAGGATGGCGGCCTCCCAGGGTCCTTGTCGGGTTGAACCAGGTCAATACCGCGCTGAAAGATCACAACGTATGCATTCAGAGAATACACATAATACGAATGCATGCGATGCATCCCATTCATGAGAAAGAACAGAAGTGCTCCACGATTCGCCACTGACTGGTACTTTGCGCTCAGCTCGTTAATTTGGACCTCATACTCCGTAGCCTTGGCGGCCTTTTTCGCGATTTCCTGAGCTGTAGCTTTAGTTGTCTCCAAATCTGTGATTACCTGCACATTTTCCGTAACATCGCCTTCAGCGTCGGCTAAACTTGACAGAATACGGTCCTCCAACGTCTGAATTCGAATTTTGAATTCGTTCTGCTGATGGATGAGTGCAGTACGGACTTTCGCTATCTTGGACCACTCTTTGCGTACTACAAGCGATAAAAGTTGGTCCTCTAAACCTTGCTGAGTCACAGCAAAGTTGACCATCGATGTCTCTGCCTGCAGCTCAGGCGGGTAGTGTGGATTCGACAATTTTGTGTGTAGATACAGACGGAAATCGGGGTGTAGCTCAACCAACTTGTCTCCCATTTTCAGTAAAGTTTTATGTCCGCGCACCGTAGTAGACCGAGAGATCACCGGCCACAAACACACTTCCAGCTTTTCCCCCATGTTTTCTACGATCACCGTGTACCCGTGCTCCACTGCTGATTCCAATAGAAGAGGCAGATTTGGCTGGTCTTGACGTACAACCTGCAGTGAACTTGGTGCAGCACGCCGAGCATGCTTCTCCATTTCTCGCAGCCAATATATACCTTGAAGTTGTGGGTCAATCAATAGCGGGGCGCGAGAGCTATTGCGCACGATAGCGCCATTCTCGACCGACACACGGTCACTCGGAAGGCCTTTTGTGTTCCACTCAGCAATTTCCGATGGTGTCGCAAGAATCTGCAATGGGTTGCCGACTTCAGTCATAGCGGTGGGTGGTACCTTATCTTTATCAGCCTTTGATGATGATTCAGCCAACGATTTACGCAGGAACGGCAGCCACTTTTCGTTGATTAGCAAATCTCTGAAGGGCTTTGTGAAGGCACCGACGTACGACACAAAACTCGCAGCGATCACAACGTCGCAGACCAACATTTCAGCACTTGCGCGGAGCTGTTCGAGTTCATTAGCCCACCGTTCACTTTCACTTCCTAGTGCATTTGCTAGCCGTCGAGCGAGTTCCATACGAAGTCGTCCCCTCTCCAGCAAGGCCACTGCGTCGAGAACCTCGTTATTGATCTTGTCAAACTCTTCGGTCAAAGTGGAAAGCTTCTCTTCCAGCGCTGTCACCTTTTGATTTACGAGCTCAAGTCTCTCGTTGGCAACCCGTAGCTTTTCGTTAGCTTCTTCTAATGCTCGCTTCTTTGGCTCCACCACAACTATAGCGTCGTAGTAGGCCACAATGTTGATCACCCAAGCACATAGTCCAGCGGCCGCGGAGTTTTTTTTTTCGATCGCTTCCACATTAAAATATTCAAGCTGTAAGAACGGACGAATTTCTTTCCAGTTGACCTCTGGAACCTGCTGGTTGTCCACCAATTCCTTGAATCCTTTCAACTCTTCAACCAAGGCGTTAATATTCCCTAACAATACCTTCTTCGAGGCTTCCCATGATCGATCTTTGTCTTTCACCTTGCCGTTTTTTTGGATGACAATGTTTGGATTCACGCCAGCGAAAAGCACAGTCACAGCACCAAATATGTCGCCCACACCTGCTGGAGGCTTCGCCATAGTCTTACAGTTTCCAAGATCTTTTTTGTTGAGTGTATCTAAAGCTGCCATCGCGGCATCGACCATCGGTTGAGCTTGCGCAAGATCTGCCTCCGTATCCGCCTTCTTCACGGACACATCAGTCTGAATGACGGCACATTTCTCACGCTCGACGTTTGCTCGAGCTGTTTCATTCTCCACGATTTCTTTTTCTTTCCGCAGTCGTGCAGCAAGCTCCTCTACAATCACTTTCTTCTTCTCAGCTTCTTCTAGCGTGCGTTTCAACTCTTCCTCCATCGTTGCCACAATATCTCCTGTTGACTCCATCTTCTCCAAGCCACTTTGGAGCCGTTGCATTGCTTTTTGATGGTTCGTGTGCTTCTGCAATAAAAGTCGCCGGTACAATGTCAGGCACTCGAGATACGACTTCGGAGTGGAATATACGTGGCGCTTTTCGTGTGATAAGAACTCCTTCGCTACAGTATTTGTGCTCTGGAAAGCAAAGGGCATGAAATTTTGTACAGCCATCACGACATGCTCGGGAGGATTCAGCTGAGGGAGACTTTCGAAGGATATAAAGCGCGCAGCAACCGAGCGCAATGCTTCTTTTGGCCACGGCTGAAACCAGTCGATAAGCGCGCAATTCACCAATGCCGGGAACTTTCGCGCTCGCATCCGGAAGTCGGCAGTTGCCGGAGAGAAACAAAGAACAATGTGCAGGTTGCGTTTGATTTCTTGTATAAACCATCGCCAAGCACGCTCCTTTTCGGAACCTTCAGAGCTAAGATTCATGGCGGCACTGGAGTCGCCAATAGGGTTTGAAGCAGCACTTGCTGCCAACGCAGCCATCATCTTTGGCTGGAACTGTTGAATTAGATTCGTTTGCTCGTCGGCGTTGTACAAATCTGGAACATTTCCACTTGACAGAAGGTCGTTTAAATACACGAGCATTCGTTCGTTCTTGATCTGGTTGTCGTCGAAGAGGAAAACAACACCGTCACCTTTAACGCCCGCCTTCAGGAACATATTCTGAAGATCCGTTTTGAAGTCCAGTAATGAGTATGCCTGCGTAATTGTGATCTCGACAAGCGAGTATCCACAAATGAAAGCACTTAAGCGTGCCAATGATTTCCGTCCACTCCCACCAACACCGACGAGTAGTGCATGACCCGATGGGTTTGAAATTATGCGCACGATCCGAGCAATATGCTCCAAGGCATCCTTGAACAATACCAGATCCATCTTCCCGTTTAGCTCATTGTACTCGGACAGTGCTTCTTCAACTGTAGCATGCAGGACTTGGACGGACACGACTTGGTCGTATTCGTTCGTACGCAAACCGTTCACAAAATGACAAAATAAAATCGGGTCCGACTGAAGCAGGGACGACTCCTTACCGTTTTCTGAGCCTGACGCAGCAGGGGCAAAATAACGCATGAAGTTCAGCGCAGGAAAGCACTTCCGTGCTTGCTGCTGCACGATAGACGTGAATTTGGCTTGATCTTGTGCTGACACTAAGCGGTCTCCATAGACGCGGGCCGATTCGTGCACCCACAACAGCGCAAACTTTAGCGGATCTTCAAAGGTCGGTGGCTTCGCCATCAGCAAACCTTGGAAGACATTCGCTACATGCCGAATATTAAACTCGTAATGAAAGTTTGCAGCCGTCTTCCGAAACGTGCTGCAAACCTGCACGTGAAGATTTAGTGCAGCTTTCAGTATAGACTGGGACATCTTCCGGATATCTTCAACAAAATCAGCCGCGTAACCTTCGAGAAAAGTGGTGTAAATTACTTGTAGGCTTGCTGCACTGAGTTGTGGTAGCGCAAACGTTACGAAATGCCGTTGAAGTCGCGGGTTGATATTGAAACTTCCAGCATTGGGGTTCATGCAACTCAAAAACTGCACATTTACGATCTGTTTCAGCGAGAACTTAGCTCTGTCGTACCAATGGCCATAGTCCAAATACTGGCGGAGTAAAGCGATGGCACTTTGGGTCCCATACGGGTCGATTTGAGGAAGGTTCAGGTCATCAAGGAAGTAGATCAACTGTTCCCCAACCGTAGGCCCAAATGTTGAGCCAACTCGTTTCGATAGCTTTGACTCGAGTATAGCTTGGAGCGCGTATGCATTTGTGTAGTAATTGAAGTTGATACTCATGCTAGCCGCTGGTCCTTTCGTTGACATTGTTGACGATGCAGACGAAGAAGCAGATCCCCGACAGTCTAGGTTATTAAGCAAGCCTTGAATCAGCTGGGTCTTGCCAGTGCCTGCGTTGCCACACAGCATGAACGGACGCTCTTCACGGACCATTACGCTCATCCAACTCGTGATTGAGGCAGTCTCGGGAGTAGGCACAGTAACCGATGACATGGCAACAGATCCATCGAATTGAACAGCCTTAAAGTACGGCGACGCGCGCCATGTATCGAACGAAAGTGTGTTAGGGTCAAGCCAATAATCGAAGACAGTATCACGAGCGGGAAACTTGATGTGCTTAAACTCGCTTCTCCACCATTCACTAAATAATTTGCGATAATCTGTTCCATCATCCGTGATCGTAAGAGCAGCACCAAATGCCCAGACAGAGATGAACCCACTCAGAATGTCAACTTTCTTCGAATCCCGAAGCGTTTCAGCGTCCAGTACGGCGTCAAGGAAGTAAAGGTACGTATGAACCAAAGTTATTTCCTGCATGGGCACGATAGTCTTACAAGACTGCTTCACGAATGCAATAATTGGATCGATGTACTTGTTCATAGCTTCTCCCAAAGCTGTACGCTGCTGAACAGACGTTCCTTTAGTCGCTACCCAGCTCGCCAAGAACGATCTCCACTGAAAGCCATCATCATCAGAAATATACAAGATACCCGCGCGCGAGACGGTAGCGGGGGTTGCATATTTCAAATCTCGAATTTCAAAAAGAAGTCGCATATTCGGCTTGACAGGAATACGCTCATTTGACGCAAGGGTTAACATTTTATTGTCATCCATGACGGAATTCATCGATTCAATCCAATTAGCATCCAGATCTCCATCCAATACGATCCATTTTGGCCGAGTGTCTGTAGCTGAACCACTGGCCACATCACGCATTATCTTAGACAGAAGACCATCTTTCCACTCTCGTGTCCCGAGCACCATATAGCCGTACAGGTCTTCAGTAGAAACCGCCTTGGGGTTGAGATCAATAACTCTTGTCACGTATTCCTCACCTTTCTTCTTTCGGGCAGCGACAAGAGTTTCACAGCACTCAGTCTTGCCACTTCCAGGTGGCCCCATTACGAAGACACAGTGGCGGATGGCTAATAATTCTTCCAGCTGAATAACTTTGAGCCGAAATTGCTCATGAGGCCAAAGTCCGCGATCTTCGCACGCAACGTGTACATACTTTTCCATTACCTCGTCGATTTTACGAGGTAGATTTAAGTTAGGGAACAGGTCGCTAAGCAGGCCGTTAAACACGAGGAGGTCTTGCTTCACGATTTTGGGCAAGTTAAAATCTCGGAGTGAGCGCATCAGGATTTCATGCTCAGAAAGCTTCGGTTCGGCACGCTTGAACGATCCAGCGACAACAAGTACACTCTTGACTGCTCTTAGACCCCAGTCGTAATGATCTTGCTTAGAAAGAAGCTCGCTAAGTAGTGAATACAGACTAAAAAACTTTGCAGCTAGCAGCTTGGCTTCTCGGAATCCTTCCGCCATTAGCATGTTTTCACAAATCAGCACAAGATCGGGTGCCATAACTGTAATGGGGCGAAATAGTGCTTTTAAGCCTTCGGGTAGTTCCGATCGCCCAAGGTAGCCGGGATTCATCGTGATGAACGTACCACATGTGGGATCGAGCTTGACAGAGTCACCTTCCACCATAACATGCGTGCTTTCACTTCGAATCCCATCGCAGACCGCCTTAAACTGGACGGAGCAAACCGACAGTACTTCTGGCGCTAGTCGGTTGAATTCATCAAAGCAGCCCCATGCTCCTGCACTAGCCAGTCCTTTAAAAATGTTACCTAAATTCTTGTAGTCCATTTCCGGTGAGCAGTTGAATACGTAGCATATTTTGCCGACCATATTTGCCAGATCTTTCGTCGTTTCAGTTTTTCCTGTTCCAGCAGGCCCAGCAGGAGCACAGCCCATCTGAATATGAAGCGCCTGAGTGGCCGTAACATAAATTCTGTCTGTTAGGGGGGTAATCACGAGCCTTGGACCATTTCCCAAATACTCAAATCCGTAGTCAAAAGTAGCGTCACAAATCTCGAGATATGTGTGGTTTTGATCATCCGACCGTCTTTGCTTTAGCTGTGACTGCCAAAGAAACGAACTAGGCGAGGTGATCTCTTCGTATAGGAGCTTCTGTACAATATCCCGTGAATGTGCGTCCATCGTAATCATGCACATTGCTCGCTGGCGATCTCCTTTGGACAAGGTAGTTTGTGTCAGCTTAATGAGATCAGTAAGCTGAATCACAATTTTCTTCAAAAGCTCTTTCATGGCCGTCGCGTGGCCTTTCGATAGTAGCCCAAAAGCACTCTCAACACTTCTCGCATATTCAATTCCAGCCACAAGTAAAGCAATTTGAGCAGCATCCACGTTATCCTTTTGTGTCACTCCTTCAGTAGCTGATGGAACCTTTTGCAATAGCCAGTCCACTCGGTTTTGCTCGGGGAATCGAGTGATCGATCGAGTTGCATGTCCCTTTAAGGTAAGTTGCATAGACTCCAATATCGTCTGCATGTACATCTCCACCTTACCTTCCAAATGTAATTTGTTCTCAAATGATATCATTTCTTTTGTAAAGTCGTTGGAAATGAAGTGGGTAGCCAACATTGAGCCGCCTGCCCCACCACGTTCCATCGCTAGTTGGAGTGTTTGTGTAGCCAGGAATACCTTCTCGAGGTGAACCATTATCTTCTGTGGGTTACTGCCATTCGATAAGATATCGAGTAAATCAGCTTCAGAAATGAAATAAAAACGCGGGAACATGCGGCGTTTTGAGTCAAGATACTCTTTCAGTGCTTGCTGGCACTTCTCCAACCGGGCACGAAGGTCATTCAGCAATGCAAGCAGTCCAGGAAGCTGGCAGGCTAGCAAGATATTTCCCGGCGGTTCTTGGTCCCACATCTTGTCCAGCGTTTGTCGAACGAGCTCATCCACATGTTCAAATCTCGCAGCTTCGTCAGGAAGCTCCCGTTTAACTTCTTCCGACTGCATGAAGAGCGGCTCCAAATACGACCACGACCGCTGTATTTCCAGCAACGCTCCAGCAATTTCGGAAACGAGCATAAGCTTCGACCGCCATTGTTGTGTCTGCTCTTGAAAGAACCTATTTCGCCCTGAAGACATGCCTTGCACAAGCAACTGATCAGATTCCAGCATCTCTACGTCATCTTCCGCCATGTGTAGTAACGGCACCGCCGTGTCTTTGTACGGTGTCATTGTTAGGCAAATAGTCGACCAACGGTTCTCGAGTTCTTGCATAACAGACTCTTGTTTGGCCTCCTTCTGTGCTCGGTCTGTGATTTCTTCCACATCGCGCTGAAATTCATGCAAGTTTAAAGCTAGAATATCTGTAAACTTAAGAGATGGGTTGTCGTCTGGGCACTCGAAGGTCTTGCCTGTGACAGCAATGAGATCTTGCCAATGGCGTCTTCGCATCGATGGATGACGCAAAGCTTGAAACAGCGGACACGTGCTCAAAAAGTCTTTTACAAGGCGTTCAAACATTTTGAACGCGTCACAGTCCCGGATGTCCTTGTGGGTGGCTTTCACTAGCGATAGAAATGCCTTGGCTTCTTCTTCCAATACAACGCCATCGATCATGCTCCACGGAATTCCTCGCGATAGATCAATTTTCCTTGTTACTTCTGAGATGGAGTCCCACATTTGATGACAGTGTTGCAGTGTCCGCTGAATAGCTTTCAAAATGGAAGCGCACGGGTCCATCAAATCTTCACATTCCAGAATTTCTGCAATATGCTTCTTGCGCTTGAAAGCTGCCTTGTCCTTTCCCGCATTTACCAGCTCTTCGTTGATTAACGATAGAGCGGCATTAACTCCAGTAGAAAAACTCCAGAAGCTCTTTATCTTAAGCTGTGCTTCTTTTGCTTGCAACTCTTCCACATACGCAGCAACCTCGTCACGGAATTTTAAACTCTGGGTCGCGATTAATGGTGCGATACGATTACTTGCAGCTGGAACCTTCTTCAGGACCTCACCCCAAGCGCTTTCAACAGCCATCAATATGTCTTGTTCCTTTGCTACCACAATGCCTGCGTCCTTAAGAAAAGCGATTTCTGCTCGGAGTTCTTCGATCGATAAAGATGTCGCTTCTCCGCGCTTCTCGACCATGAAGACATGCTCTTTTAGTTTGATTAACGCAGCTGTGATTTGATCGGGTGTCCAGGTTGGGTCTGACAAAGGTTGTTCCAGACCGATATTGCACTCTCGCGTCGACTGCTGGAGTCCTTGCAAATCATGCAACACTTGATCCAGTACGAGCTTACCCGTCATTAAGTTCATTTCACGAGTAACAATGTCGTCGAATGTAGCCATGTACGGAGATCCACGGATCTGACCGGCACTGCCACCAAATGTACCTTGGAATTCGATTTTGACTTCATATTCCCCCGGGCTTGGTACCGTGTAACTCACTAAGTACTTGCCGTTAAGCAGGTCCTGAATTTGTAAGCTCGGCAAGAACATTGGGCCAGATTCATCTGCAGAAACTTCCACGACAAATTCGTCTCCACCCCGCGTCCGCAAGTTACGCTGAGCATCTCTCGCTTGAATCATGAAGCAAGTAGGCTCACCACTAGCACCTTCAGACAATACACCAGGGCCGTACGCAAAACATAAAGGCGCATGAGTAACAGAGAAATAGTTATACGTTTGAAAAGTCGTCGTGAATGAATCACTCTGCAGTGCGACGCGGATCTGAACATCCCCGGCAGGAAATGCGGAGAAGTCTGGTGCTACAACATTTAGCGTGTGATCATTGACATATTCACCTGGAACGTCCACAGATCCTTTTCGAGACGAGAATCTGATGGTCACAGGCTTATTGACAAAATCAATGCCTTCTATCACCAAAGGCGTACCACCCGTAATCGGTCCAAAGTCCGGGAAAATAGCTGTAATACCATACGGGGGTCCAACGACGCAGCTAACGTCTAGGTAGAAAATGTCATTGAGCCATACATTAGCCCAGCCACCGAAAACAATGAGACGGCTACCCTTATCATCGTAGGCTAGTGTAGTGTCACTTCGTCCGCAAGGGGGGGTTCCCTCGATCTCTGGAATACTCCAGCTCAGTTCACCCGTATCAAGCACACTCAGATCGTTCATATAGCTCCCTTGTGCGTTGTAGTTGTTCGCTTCTCCAACGACACCCCCAAACACGAAAACTTTCGCGTGAGGAATAGCTAAAACTGCACAGCAAGCGTGATTCCATCTCGGTAGCGTCGTAGCCATATGAGTGCCTTCCACCAGAGTCCACGAGTTCACCGTCGAGTCAAATATATGCAAGTCATTAAACTGAGCCACACTATTCCAGCCTCCGCATACGAGCATCAGATCATCCACCGCGCATGCTTGGTGACCAGCTCGTTTGTCCGGTGATTTGCCCTTGCATGTAACTTTAGTCCAGCTCAGATCATCGGTGCGTAGCATATACAAGTCGTCGAAGTCTCTTCGGCCGTACCCTGTGCCCCCATATCCTCCAAACACGTATATATTGCGTCGAACAGCCACCGCTGAATGGGCCCCTCTTGGTGCTGGCAGTGCTGCGGTCACAGGTTTGGCCACACTAGCACGATGGATATTACTGTTGAGACCCCCAGAGCCCGCTCCAGATTGGCTCCAGTCCAGTGTAATCGGATTAAAGATCCACAAGTCGTTGAACCTTGTGGCGCTGCTTTGAAAACCGCCGAAGACGTAGATCTTGTTGTCCACGACAGTTGCCGAGTGTTTCCATCGTGGTGGCGGCCACGCGCCATTTAGGGGCGAGCGTAGTCGCTCCCATTCGCTCGGAGCATTGGCATTTATCTTAAGTGCGAACAGGTCGTTGGTCGGCCCAGGAGGCTCCGCGTAGTCACAACCACCGAACAAATAGCCGCTGGAGCCCACGATGGACAGCGAGTGACCCGAGCGGCGCGTAGGCGGCTCCTCGTTGCGTCTGGCCATCGTCTCCAGCTTGCTCCAACGAAGCATCGGCGCTGAGCCAACGCCTCCACCAGGAACTTCCGCCATCGAGTGCGGAATCGGAGTGAAGGTCTTTTTGGGAGTCGCGCTAATGAGCACCCAGGTTGAACTTGCAGATTTACGGACCAAGGATTGGTTGAGAGGTGGATTAATTTAGACCAATGTGAGCTTTCCGCGACGTTTCAAGATCGGTTTGCCGATCTTCTACCAATTCCACAGTTGACCTGGTCATGGCGTATCGCGATCTGACGGGCCGCTTCCTGGAGCGACGAGCGAATTTGCGCAAGCGCAACCTGCGCTTTCAAATGCGGCCACGGCTGGACAATTCACCGCTGCTCGGCGCGTTGTTTCTCTCGAAACAGGTAATGTAATTACCGTATTACGCAGGTGTCAAGATCATCGCCACCATCTAATGTGAGAAATGCATTGCTTGGTGCAGAGAAGCAAGTCGCAGGCGATGGAGAAGGCTCTACTTCAAGACGCTAATGAATTTCCGGAGGGAAAACACAGCGATGTCCACAAGCCAGAGTGGACACGCTATGCTGACAGCGCAGACGAATCCATTCGCCTCCTGCACGCTAAATGTACGGAATTTGTCAACAGGTCACTTGCGAGTTTGATCTCAGAGGATTAATGACTGAGGGTTGCTGTCATTATCGTGGTTTATCATTGTTGATGTAGTGGAGTATTTGCAGCTGCTACATACTCGACGATTGATGATCCGATTCGATGATTCGGAGGTCCAGCAAGAGCACGAGATAATTTGCCTGACTGAGGAGATCACAGCGTTGTTCCACAAGGCAGATCGATCACTGAAGAAAATTACCAGCGCTTTTGTAGGGGGCGAGGCAAGTCCATCACCAGCAGACCGTCTCGTTCGGTTGAATACACAACGCGCAATTGCAGGCCGACTGCAGCAAATATCGATGCAGTTTCGAACGAGGCAGCGCGAGTATCTTCAGCGACTGCAGCTGCAGAAGTTCGGGAGCGAGATTTTTGACGTAGATGCAATGGAAAAAGGGGCAACAGGTGGAAGTTTTCGATTCGGGAGTAAGGCCACCGCCTTGGCAATGGATCACACCGAATACGATATACGGACTCGAGACATCGAAATTCAACGTATAGCGAAGTCAGTCGCGACGCTGGCGACCATGTTCAAGGAAGTAGCCGAAATGGTGATTGACCAAGGCACGCTCATCGACCGGATCGATTACAACATGGAGCAGGTAACATAACAGTCGCGCTTACTCTCAAACAAAAGTGCAAACAATCCAACTTTTCTGCGGTGCTTGTCTTTTTACTGCCAGGTCGTCGAGAGAATGCGATCCGGGCTGGGCCAGCTCGAGCGCGCAGAGAAATATCAGCGGAATACGCGGCCTGAGCGGTGCATCTTCTTGTTGCTGACACTGATCACACTATGTTTCTTCATCCTCGTCATGAAGCACTCTTGACCAGTACACCTGCTTTCACACCGTCCAGAAACAACGCTCATCAATGCAGGGAGCGTCAGAAAACGCGTGAACACGTAGTTTTTTAAATGTCCCTTTGCCCACCGAGTCAACGATCAGGAATCATGTTAATATTTTACAGGAATTCTTACAGGCAACTGGGGGTAAAAAAAAAACTAATCCTTCGTCTGCCTAGCAACCGATGTAGGCTACTTCTTATCTCAGTATCAATCCCGAACATGTTATCCGAGATAGCCATAACGATTATCATGAGCATATCCCCGAGGAGACCCGTCACCAACAATCGAGAAGACAATCACGAATCAATTACTGTACAATACAGAATCAGCACACAAGACGCTATTCAAGTCTGGTGCGAGTGCGACCCAACACCGACAAATACCTTCTCGCTTCATTCCATTGTCATCTGACTTTCCATCCCATATCTATATAGAGAAGTACCAGGTACCCACGTTGGCTTTAACGGAATCGTAATCGTCGTTTTTAAGCGTCAGCTCACGCATGTCCGTCTTCACTCTAAATATCGCTCGAAATTATGTGAGCTCGAAGCAACCATGGCGGTTTCAAGTTTTTTTTCTCCAGAATATTCGCCATGGTGCCCTCCGCTAGGGACTTGTCGTTAGTTTTTTTTCTTGAGCAGAACACTGATGTTGATCTGTTCATTTTTGTTCCCAATTGCGGATAGAGATACACGGAGCGAAATTCGAGTCGTAATTCCAAAATCAACGTCGTCTATTAGTATTCTAATTTGTGACATTTCTCTGGCCTTTTGTCCGAGTCCTTGTTACTTGTGGGAGGTTCAGCTTGGTAGCACTCATACCATTAATCAAAAGGAATCTGCCATCACTGATGTTCTCGCTCGATAGAAAGAAGCAAGAGTTGACCAATACGATTTCACCTAAGAATACTTCGAACTCTCTTGCCAGGATGTCCACCATTTCGTCCATGTCGTTAACGTGGCTATCATTCTTCAACTTGGTGCTTTTAAACCGTTCTCATATACTCGACGAGATCGTGGTTCATGCATCGCATCTCTTCCAGTCAAGATCGCGTACGAATATTTGCAATCCCGACGCTACGAGCGGGTTTCAAGTCCTTCTCCAAGCAAATCCTAATGTCACTGAAAGGGTGACGAATGCGGTAAACACAGGCTCCAAAAATTCCATCAGTATGGTCTTCTGGGCAGGCATTCCGATAATTCAATTGCAATCATATTATAGGTCCATGCCAAAATAAGCTATTGCTACAAAAACTACAACTTAAGAAATAAATAATTGACATCAATAGTAGTGTATTGGAAAATTTACTACTTAGATGTACAGCACTGCACATTACTTTGCGTTCACGATAGCTGCTACAGTGTTTGCGTCCCAGAAACGCCGATTCATCTTCAGGAACAACACGGTTTCAAGGTGAATAGGCAGCATACGCTGGCGATGGTGGGAAAGAGTATGTTTCGCCACACTTAAAAGACGCTCCACGGTGTTTGACGTCGGCGGGATGAAAAGCACACCATCAAATACCTTCTTTGCACCGCGCCGCTTTTTTCTAGTCGCCAAGACTCTGTCGGCAAAGCCCTGTGGGCGTCCGTGCCTGGTGTCCAGTGTCGTAATTGCGGGTACCGTCTCAAATGGCTGCAACATCAGCTCCTGGTCGTTCGTCATCTCGTCCACGGCGCCTGACAGGGCTACAACGCACGCTCGCTCGAAGTCCACGTCCTTAACAATATTTGCGTCGGCAGCAAGATACTTTTTCACAACGGAATGCTTCTCGATGAGCGCATCTAAGATATCGCGCACATCGAGAAGCGTTACGTTGTCGTCTTGAAGCTTCATGGTGGCCGACTGGAAGTCGCCAAGCTGGCAGTAAAAAAGTAGCTGCAGACTTGCTTGGTCGTGAAGGTGTTGGCGAGAGCCATGGTAAGATTAAAAATGATAGACGAGCGCCTCAGGTTCGCGTTTTGAGCGACCGTTGCTAACAGCCATTCGATTCTGTCTGGAGACCGAGCTTCGTATTTACGCAAAAAAAAGCAGAAAAAACTAGATTTCACGAAAAAATAAAGTACTTTGTTGTAAATACAAAATAACTAATTGGAAAAAGTCATCCAATTTGTAAAAATCAATAATTAAGTGTAAACTATTGTATTGAAGCAGCAATACAATGATTATTTCGGAATACCTGCTTCTGGGTATACCATGTAGATCAATCTGCTGTATACAGTCTTGGTGAGTTCTCCTTGCCGATCAACTGTCGAGGCTGCAACAAATTCCCCGAGCATGTTACCGAGGCGCTCCACAGGGCTCAAGTGCTTTCCAAAAAAGCTATTTCTGCCAGTATACGTGTATTCGGTGTCCATCTTTCTTCGCCATGTAGAAAGGATGTTTATAAGGAGGAATGTCGGTAAGCCTTCATCACTAATTGTAGTTTTAGCTCATGAACTGTTCAGCGTCTTCACGACGACAGGAAAAGGGTATGCATAATCTCACTTGACATTATTTCGCAGCAAGAATTCTGGGCCCGTGCCGTCACTGTAGTATCCGCCTCTTTTAGCTTGAAAAATCCGCGGCACTGGATTAAGATGGAGAGCTGCATGTGAGAGAGATCTATCATAGTCCAGCACTGGGGACCAAGACCATTTATTTACTACTACCACGTAGTATTATAATACCGAGCATATAACTCGCCCGTGCTCAACCAAAAGGTGATGTTTGATGAGCCCGGGTCAACTTGTGCCAAAAAGCCGAACCATATCCAGATCCGAGTAGTTTGTGTAATGCTAACTGCTGATCGCATTTTGTTTTTCATCCTTGGGCATCAGGATCCCGATCGCAAGACCCGGATCGCTCACTCGTCGTTTTCTCAATAAGCACACGCGTCCACCGAGCCCGCAAAGATAATTAGAGTTTCCTCCATCGCTCCGCCAGCCCAGCAGACACAACACGCTCTCAATTGACACGCATAAACAAGTTGTTCCTCGTCATCTGCCCGCGTTTTCATCCTTCCCCCTCTCCACCAGTTCAGAAGTATCCTGTTACCAGCAAAAAAAATACTCTTTATTGGCCAAAAGTATTTTCTGACTTCCTTCATCTTAGTGACTTGTCAATTGAACTCCCTTTTTGTCCAAATTATTGATCCCCTCAAACATGGAGCCGCGTGCACGCCGCCTCAGCAATGCCCGCGAGCCTCCGATGCCCCCCTTAGCACCACAGCAGTATCCTACCAAGAGCTACAGTCGAAGCAGTGGTCGCAGCGCCCGCTCTGTCCGCTCCATGTCCACCGCAGTTGTGCTGCGACTGCTGCTAGGCCTCTTGTGTGTCGGAATCGTCGCCCAGTGGGTCATGTGGAGCTCCAGCGTCGTAAGCACACAGCGCAGCAATACTAATAATCAACCTGACAATGGCTGGATGAATCATCTGCGTCGCATTGAGCACGGGGAGGACACGCCGGGGACTGCGCAGGTTGTGGACACGTTCGAATTCGTGCCGCCAGCCAGCGACCCGACGTATGAGGAGGAACAGCAACGACGAGCACCTTACGACCCTTCAAAGCATAATGAGGACCAGAAACAGGTGGTCGACATGGTGCAATGGGCTTGGAAGGGCTATTCGGAGTATGCGTACGGTCATGACTCGTTGAATGTTAAGACGTACAAGGGCACGGGGTTGCCGGATCATGATATGGCATTGACTTTGGTGGATGCGTTGGACACGCTATATCTCGTTGGAATGTTCGATGAGTTCGACCGAGCGAGTGAATGGGTCGCTAACAATATGGAGCAGAGGATCTTCCTCAGTGGATTCATCAGCTTCTTTGAGACGACGATTCGCTTGATGGGTGGACTATTGTCGTCGTATTGCATGTCGGGACATGTGCACCTTCTTACCATCGCAAATAAGTTGGGAATGGCTCTGTCACCGGCGTTTGAGGTGTATGATCATGGTGTGCCTGCGAAGGATTTTGATATTGTGGTACTTTGCGCTTTTTATCTGGATCAATTCCTGCAACATTGCAGATAGCAATGGTATAAATGACTGATACATGTGATTGTCTGTCGATTACTACAGACCAAACGCACCCGGGCTGCTCCTTCATTAGCAGAAGTGGGAACGTTGCAGATGGAGTTCAAATATCTAGCTCGTCTCACTGGTTACCCAAAGTACCAAGAGCAAGTCGAGCGTATTTCCGATTCAGTACGTTCTTAATTCAACATTTAAGCTGAGAAGCACTACAGACGCAACTAACTGAACGGTTTTTACGTGCACAGCTAGCAAAGCAAGTGGAGGACAAGTACACGAATGGTCTGTTGCCAGTTCAAATTAGTCAAGAGAGCGGAAAGATTACAACTTCTAAAATCACTCTGGGTGCAAACGGCGACAGCTACTACGAGTACCTGCTGAAACAGGTACGCGTGCCTTGTTATGATGTCGACGTAGCTCAAAGATCTGAATCACTCGTTTATATAATCTATGTAGTGGCTTTTATCTGGCAAGAAAGACGACAAGTTCAAGACACAGTATATGACCGCAGTGGATGGCATCACAGACAAGCTTTTGGGGAAATCTAAGCCCAACGGCTTCGTGTTTATCGGCGAGCTCGTATACGGCAAGTTTGAGCCTAAGATGGATCACTTGGTGTGCTTTGTACCGGGTATGTTGGCACTGGGATACAAGAACGGTATGCCGGAGGAACACCTTACACTGGCAAAGCAGCTCATGGAGACCTGTTATCAAATGTACGCTCAAATGGAGGCTAAACTCGCCCCTGAGATCATGTACTTCAACATGAAGGAGAACGTCGAAGAGGATTTGCTCGTCAGTGCAACCGACGCGTTTAATCTCTTGCGTCCTGAAACGGTGGAGAGTCTGATGGTGCTGTATCGAGTCACAAAGGACGAAAAGTACCGTGAATATGGCCGTGAAATCATGAAAGCGTTCGAGAAAAACTGCCGGTTAGAACGTGGCGGGTACGCGAGTATTGGCAACGTGGCCAAAGGCCCCATTCACATTGGTTTCCGCAACGAAATGGAGAGCTTCTTCATCGCCGAGACGCTCAAGTATCTGTTCCTACTGTTTTCCGACGATTCGATGCTGTCTCTAGATGAGATCGTCTTCAACACAGAAGCCCACCCGTTCCCGATAGAGAAAACTGACTCCTAGACAAGTCAAGTACTCGTCTATTATATCGTGCAGCATCTTCAAATATCCTGATGTTATATTATCCTATTCGTAACCAAAGGAATGGAGTTTGATGCCTAACGGATATTTGTATTTTGAGATCTCGATTGACTTGGCAGTAGATGAATTCAACCTCATCTCAAGGCGTGCATTGAAGATGGGCGGTGCAGCGTCTGTCGATTGCGCGTCAAACTCGAACTACAGGTATGGGGAAGCTCCGGAGGTTCAAGGCGACAAGGCAAGTGACGACACATCTTGGATCGGCACGAAATTGGACATGCCCCCGAAGCCCTTTAGCGTAGAAAACTACTTTGAGTTGCTAGACATCGTAGGCACCGGCATGCTCGGAAAGGTGCGTCTGGTTCGGCACAAACGCTCGAATCTTTACTACATCCTCAAGTCGGTCAAGAAGAAAGATGTGATTGTAAAAAAGATGATCCCGCAACTTGAAGCCGAACGAGACGCAATGGCACAGATGACCGCACTCCAACATCCCTTCTCGGTTCAGTTCTTCGGGAGTTTGGCCACAACCTCACACGTGCATTTCCTCCTGGAGTTTGTGCCAGGTGGGGAGCTTTTCCATCGACTCCATGCTGTAGGACGGCTATCCAACGACGAAGCAAAATTCTACGCCTCCGAGCTCGTCGTGTTCATTGAAACGTGTCATACAAACGGCTTCATGTATCGTGATCTAAAACCTGAAAATATTTTGCTAGACGCGAACGGACATTTGAAAGTCGTCGATTTCGGGTTCGTCAAACGACTTCGCCATCCGAATGAGCGAACCTCGTCCAGCGTGGGGACACCGGAATACTTAGCACCGGAGCAGCTCACGGTATCTCACCAAGTACGCAATTATTCTCGTATCGTGGATTGGTGGGCGTTTGCTTGCGTCGTGTACGAAATGGTGATCGGATTGCCGCCATTTACGTCGCGAAAGAACGAGTCGCACTTCGAGCTGTATAACCGTATTCTGTCGGGCAAGATCTACTGGCCTCGGTTTATGCAAAGTACACTGAAGGATCTACTTCGAAACATGCTGCAGAGTGACCCGGGTAAACGGTTGAGCGAAGTCGACACGATCAAGCAGCACGCGTGGTTCGAGAGTGTAGACTGGGACACTGTTCTGCTGAAGCAAGTGGCAGCCCCTTTCGTGCCGACTTTAGCCTGTGCGGGCGATACGACTAACTTCGACGACTACCCGAGCTCCAGCGAGGAGACTCCGCCGCTAAATAGCGAAGCGTCCAGGCATGACTTTCTCAACTTTTGACAAAGATCATCAATATCCAGAGCGCCATCAGCTGCAGCGATGATTTCGAGGTGGCAATCAAACGCCAGCGAGCCGGGGATCTTAAGTAGCGTTGATTGCCAGCTCAAAAATTCGCGCTGGCGCGTAGTTCCTTATGGTCGAGCAGCGCAGCATCGCAAACTTTTGCTTGAAGACGGCGTTAACGTCCGCGTCACCTGGCGTGCCGGCAGAACGCAGTCGTTCCTGCTGGCAAGAAGGCATTTGGCGACTTGCCAACAAAATCGGTTTTCGCCCTAACGCCTTATTTTCTCGTCAACAAGCCACTTCAACAACTCAACATCAAGTTCGATTTGCAGCATGGCACCTTCACTTTTGCCATGTGTGACGAAGCGAGTTCGCTGCTGTTTTCAGTACCTTTAACTCTTAAGAGCCGGGCTTTACCTACGCTTTTTTTGCCCCGCAGTTGGCTCCGGAGCACACGGTATGGATGGCAGCTGGAGGTCTGTCAACAGGTACAATAAACAGTGTGGACGACCAAACCGCGCTGGGTGTTGTTTCATGTTGGGCAACGCTGAAAAGGCGCGGCGCGCTGTCCTAACCGCTACGGAAATATTAATGCAGGTAATTCAGTCCGTTTCACTATGGCTCCTCACTTCGAGCGTCGAAAAACAAAAGAGGGAATCCTCTCTTCACTCATTGCTTTTCGCAGTGTGCGATTTGTGGTGCCAAGCGCGTCGGAAAAGCGGAGAAGAAGAGCAGGAACGGTAAGTGCAGAGACCGGCAACGCCGATACAAAGCTACAGCAAGCACCGTAAGCTCACGCACCAATCCAAACACCAACGATGCCCGACAGAAAGCCGACGATGGCCCTAGACCCGCTTCACTCTCCAGGAAGCGACACACAAGAGCTGTACTCTCCAGCAGTGCCCAACGCTCTAACGGTCTTGACTCTCAGTGTACAAGACGCCGGTCCGACAGCGGATCTCATGGCCAAGACGAAACGACGCATATTCTCCACGCCAATGCTGCGCCGCTCTGCCACGGCTTCTTCGGCTGCAGCGGCATCTGCAGCCTCCAAGATCAAGAGCAACTTGTCCACAGTTAAGCTCCCAACGGCATTGAAGCGCAACAGTGCGAACAGCGGGAAAAACGCGGCGGCAGCTCCAGTCGACTGTGTGCCATCGCTGTCAAGGTCCAGCACCGATTCCTCCGTGAAGAAGGAGACCAATGCTGTACCAAACAACGGCAAGAAATTTGCCATCCCGTCGCTGAAGCACATCAGAGCCAGCGCCATGGACAAGATGAAGACAAAGCCTAGCTGCCCACTGGACTCTCCTGAGGCTAAATCCCAGCGCAGCAATATCAGCAGCGAGGAGGATACGAGCAACGAAGATTCTGTTACGCCCCAGCATGCAACGTCGGCTATTACTTCGCGGTTTGTTTTGGGAATGCCGACCATGCTGAGACGCGCTGTCTCCAATAACCACCCGCCTGGCGCTGAGGCTATCGCTCACAAGAAGTCGCCGGATACTAGTGCGAACTCCACCCCGCGTGGAGAATCCTCGGAGGATGATTGGGATGAGAACGACCGACACTCTTTGCTGATGATGCTGCAGGTGCCCGAAGCTCGGAATTCGCTGATTCCGTTGATGGCGGTTAGCCAGACCTGGTGAGCGCAACAGATCGTCTTCTCACCCCATCATTGACTGCACAGAGCAGTATATCTATCCCGTGCCACGTGAACAGACCTCTCTCCAAAAAGTTGCTTTTAGTTTTGCGAACGAAGCTGAACATTTCCCAACAGTATTGATCGATCTCTTCAGTCTGCTAGGCACAGTCCACAACTGTTATCTAATTATCAGCTTTACCATTGAAACAGCAGAAGTGTTTACATTCCCATCACTAGTTCTTAATCAGCAACTATTGCCGTTGCAGGCGATAAGCAAAGATTACAGCCATTCTATCTTCAAATTGATTCTTGTTTCGAGGTCAATAGTCCTGCTCACTCTGCGTGCGGGTGATCGTTGTCATCTACACCGCCGAAATCATTGATGACCTGCTCGCCATCAACAGCTACAGGGCGCGGATCAAACAGGTAGCGGCTATTCCAAAGACAAAATACAGACAATAGGAGTCGTCAGATACTCCTTCTCAAAAATTATTGTCGTGTCAAACCAATCTTGAACGTACATGATACGAGGAGTTGCAAGCGGTCGCTGGGTCTTCCAGCCTCGAATGCTAGCAATCGTAGGGTAAACGTCTGCCAAATTATCACACGATGTTAATTTCTTCGTCATCATTCTGAGCAACAAATCCATCGCGTCTTTCGCCTCACCTTCCAGGAAATAATAGATATGTCCAACAATGATGCCAATCAAATCGGTCGTCGCGCTGTTTCCCAGCAGAATAGAAAAGGAGAACAGCACCCATGGCAGATACGGTGCTGTGAACGGGAACAGACCCAAGAAGCTCATCCGCACGTGTTCATTGCGGCGACCCCAGAGGTACACCATCATGAACGTTAGCGACGATCCTAGAAAGTGGATGTTCACGAATGGTGCCACTAACTGCGAAATGTTAGCATCACAGCCAGCAAAGTCAGCACCTTCACCATTACCAAAGTCTTAAAAATACGTCACGTGAACGTACGATCATAAAGACTGCTCCCAGCAGTAGCATGTACACAAAATCCGCTGTTCGACCTCGGAAGGATCCTTCCTCTAGTAATCTGCAATAGCGAACGCTGGTCGAAGCAAAACGCAGTGCACACAAAGTCAGTAAATTGCGAACAAACCTAGCATCTGCACTCGAGTGGAAACTTACACGAAGTACATGTGGAATAGAAAGTCGAGACTGAAGAGTCCGAAGAACATGAAATTGGTCAAAAGTCTCCATACCTGTTGCAAATGGCCATGAATACACAAAAGAGTTAATGCCAATGCACAATACTACCAGGTGCTTAGCTCCACGTACTTGTCCCTTGAAAAAGATGAGGTTAAAGTTGAAATAGAGTGAAAATGGCGACACCAAGTCCAGTGCACATGCCGTGGTCGTGAGGAAGGAGCCTGTGAGGTACAGCCGTGACACAACGGGGATCTCGTAGTACCATTCCAGCGGGTCATTCATGGTTGTCTCTTCCTCCGACAAGGTGCGTGTTGTGAAATGACGCCACTTGGCACAAAGTGACCCGCGGGTCCAGTTTGACAAAACCCGTGGGCCCAGGTGGAAAATGACGTTGAAGTGACCATCACTCTTTCGATTCCGCACTCGATGCGGGAACCATTTTGGGTTTGAGGGAGCGAACCATGAGCCGACTGGTGCCGTATCGAACAAAGTTATCGGAGGAGGTGGCGGCGCACATCGAGCAGACACTAAACACCACCATGTACCTGGTGCAGACGACGGGCCCAACGTCCTATGTGGTGAGACCGGCCCATTTTCAGTAGCTGAAGCCAGCAATCTAACGGCTTGATTGATCTCTACAGATTCAGGAGCAGAACTGCGACAAGAAGTACAAGGTGTTAATAGGGTCCATTCAGACCTGCAGCTGTGGTACGGCCGACATTTGTATCCACATCCTGTTCGTGATGCTCAAAGTCCTACGAGTTCCGCCGACGACGCCTATCGTGTGGCAAAAGTCACTTCTTGATTCGGAGGTAAAGTGACATGGAATCAAGTGCGGACTGTCACTCACAGTTGTCGTCGGTTTTTGGTGTTGTAGATAGAAACGTTGCTTCGAGGCGGGTACAGGGAGAAATCGAGGTCGGAGCGAAAGCCTTACACGAAGAAACGCAAAGAAATAGTTGCAAGCAAAGAGCCCGATGATGTAGACGTTGACAGGCACGAGCTGGTCGAGGGTGAAGTCTGTGCTATTTGCCAGGAGGACATGGATGATAACCAGCCGCTCACATTTTGCCGCACAGGGTACGTGCATGATCTGCTGTAGTTGTGTGGACGTAAGTTTCGCTTAAGCTGATATGCGTTCGTCACTGCAGTTGTGGCAACAATTTCCACATTGAGTGTATGAAAGTTTTTGGAGAAAGTCGACGTCAATCGAAAGAAAACATCATTTGTCCGTTGTGTCGCCAGGATTGGGGCGGTGAAGCACTGACAGCACTACGGAAGGCGATTGAAGCAGCTAACAGAGCTCCAAATGTCCATAAGGGAGCTTCGTGTAGGAAATGCAAGACGAAGCCAATTCGGTGCGAGCGATATCGCTGCGTCCAGTGCAAGAACGTGGACTTGTGCGCGCGATGCTTCAAGTCAAATGTCCACTTGAACCACGCCTTTGTGATGAAGCCGAACGTTCCAGACCCATGGGTACCAGCACTCCGTGAAAATCAGCCTCTGGTAGCTCTCAACTCTGATTTAATTCGAGACTTGGAATCTCGAGAGCTCTCAACGAACGATTACGATGTACTTCTGCAACTTGACCATAAAGAACATCCTATACAAGACTATCTGCTGAAAGTCATTTCTGGGACCAAAGTCAGCGCTGAAAGCGCTAAAACGTTTGGTGCTCCTGGGGCGACGTGCTCCCTCTGTGCTCAGAGTCTTAATATCAAAGCGGCTTTGCGTTCGACATTGTGTGGGGTGCGTACTATTGTCCACGTTGGGTTGGGTATGTTTTAATGCGTTTGTGTTTTGTGGTACTCACAGCATGTTTTCCACGAGAGTTGTCTCGCGAGGTCGATTCTATCGCAGGTCTACGTATGTCCGTTTCCTGGGTGTGATCATGCGCTGCTGCCTGGATTGTTATACCTACAGCAAAAGCACGAGAAGAGTAAAAGTCATCATCTTGCTGAGCCCAAGCAACAGCCGCAATCGGCATCAAGATTGAATGCATCGTTTACAATTCTGGGACTTCAGCAGCAGCAGCAATCAAATGTTCAGTCACCAAGAATCGCGAGTTTAAGAACACCAAACGTGGGTATTACAAAACGACATAATCGCCGCCATGGTGACGATCTCCCCTCGTTACCTCGTCTTGTCTCGGTAGGAATCACGCCGCATGAACGACCCAGTGCAGACTTACCCACGCTAAGTCAGTGTGTATCAATGATACCAGCACCAATATCTAATCAATTGGAGCACAAGAGACGAAGTTTGAACATAACAAGCAAGGCAGAACGTTCTACACAGCGCCAAAAAGGAAAATTAGTTAAACAACCACGTGCCGGAAATACCCTCCCTCCTCTTGATCAGCGGTCAGGACTTCTCACAATTCAAAGTGATGACAATGAGACCCAAGTCCGTCTCAACCATGCCGATAAGATCCGTGCTGAGCTGAAGGCGGTCGAGAGAGAACGCCTTCAAAAGCAGAGATTGTTTAAGGAAGAACGAAGGCGACGCCACCAGGAGCAAATCAACATTCCAGCCTTTACCGCTGGTATCCTCAGCGTAAATCAGGGGGAAACCGACCCAATTTTAAGGGCTCATGTTACCCTAGCGCAGCGGAACATTGAGTTGAAGCGGAAATCTAAGGACCGGCAGCAGCGTGTTCGAGAACAGAAACAACTTTCAATTACACTTCCAGATTTATTTGTTGGCAACATGAAGTGATATTATCTAAACTAAATAACGGAGTTGCGCCGAACGTATAATGATGGATGAGGCGGCTGTAGATCTTTTGAGCTGTGTGGAAAACGAGCCGAGAGATCGTTCTTCTTTCTGCGGTTAGACGGAGAAGATAATGGTATGCGCAGCTTGCGATGACGGCGACGAAGCAACATGGAGAGCACGATCGATACGGTCACGCCGAACGAAACGTAGATTTCGGGCTTGGATACAGTCGCAAGAACTCTCGGAAGCATATCCTCGGTGGCCCCAGCAATGTTGTGTTTAAAGTGACATGACGAAATGCGTCGTCTGGGCGAGCCACAGTGCTCGACCAGGTTGCAGATCGTTCCTTCGAGCATGTGGCAGGATAACTGCATCGAAAGATGTTGCGTATCACACGAAATCTTTTGCGTCATTCCAGCTTGCGCGTCTATCATTGTAATTGGATCGTACTCGGGCACCACAGCAAAGTTCCGATGGTGCAGGCTTGTGCGGTCCACCTTCATCGACGTTCCTCCAATATGATGAACCAATTTGCTGTAGCTTTGCACGAACCCAGGCGGTGAGAACGTTACTGATGTCGTCCCGACGATGGATCCGACGAGTCGCGCGATACCACCGCCCATTGAGTGACCGGTGAGCACCACCTTCCGGTCCGTGCGTGAAGTGACGTAGTCCAACAGCTCGTGATAATACCACGATTCATGCTGCAAGCCAAACAACCCGGTCATCTCACTGTACAGCTCAATCAACGTGGAGAACGTCACATCAGGCCAGATGCGAATGGTCGGGAAAATGGATGATAGCACCGAAAACACCACAGGCTCGAAAAACATCTTGACGTCCTCCACGAAATCCGTGAATCTCCAGATGTCCGTGCCGCGCACCGAAATGACGCTAGTGTTGAGCTTCGGGATGTAAGCTTCAAAGAAGTCGAGCTTTGACCCAGTCTTGGTATTCAACGCAGGCAAATGAACGTGAATATCTCCCAGTTCGTTGTCGAAAATGGTCGAAATGAACTCGGCCGTGTCGTTAGACAACGGATTAAAGTAGGCAGCTTCAGCGAAGAAAGCCAAATCGATCAAGCTCAAGCCATTCCAGCGGTTCGAGCAGCTCGCATAGAGCGGATCATCCACCGTGATTGCAGGATTGGTCTTGTTTGCAAGCCCAAGGTGCAACTTCACAACTCCCGTGTGATGAATATGGATCGAGTTGTCTTCGTATTCCACCGACGTGGCGTCAGGGAACCACTTCGCGCTTTTCTGCATCACTGACAGCACACTGAATCCCGAAATGGCACCTACGAACAGCAGCAAAATAGCAAGCGCAAGGTACACAAATTTCTTGGCAGTACGATGACCCAGCAGCGGTTTTTTCTTGTCAGACGATGTTTCTTGTAGCATTTGCTGAAGAGTTTGTCCCATCTCACTCAACGATGAAGCGGCTTCTGAGCGTAAGAAGCGGTCGAAAACGAACAAGCTTACTACAACAAAGACGTGGGGCTTCTCAGTCATCTTGGAGCCAATAAAAACGATACCGGACATGCCTAGCGCCAAGGGGCCATCAATAGTCACCGCGCGCACACTCAGCAGACTCACCATTCGGAGACAAATGAGCGATACCACGTAGATTGACGGTAGCAGCAAGTTGATGATAGTAAGTTCCAGTTGTGCGTGAACGAAGCCCATGTGCGGATGCACACACGCACGGAAGAACACAATGCCCTGACCTACGACGAAGGTGAATTTGAGCCGCTCAAAGAAGCCACAGAGTGCTTTTTTGTTGGAATCGCACTCCTTCACATTGGGAAGTGTGAAGCAAGTAATCGCCAGGAACCAGAGAATCCACCCCACGAGCAATGCCATGCCAAAAATCTCCCACTGATAATTCGTGAGTTCGCTAAGCGGCGTGATTTTTAATCCAAAGTGGCGCGCACTCCATTCGACAGTCCACAATCCACCCAGGAAGTTCATGCCTAGCAGCCATCCTCCCAAGAAAAATGTCTTTACGGTGGTGAGACCTGCAAGTGCTGAACGCCATCGTGGCAGGATCTCCAGACAGAGCTGAATGAACTGGCAGATAGCAATTGCAGTCGATATACGCAATGCTCGCTGAAATACCGGATGTCTGTCGGTCAACAGCTTTAAATATGACTCCTCGCACATGGCTTGGACTAGAGTCGACGATCCTGGTAGCACCGCGCTGCTACAATGCGAAGGCACCATTATTAAGCTGGGTAGGATGATCAGCATGGGCATGGCGACTGTGAGGATAACTGCCTGCGGGCTGCACTCGCACGCAATTATACGTCGAATTAGTGGGAAATTCTGCAACGACTGCCACGTGAGGATCCACGTTGCCCGTCCGAAAGACAGCACGATACCCATGACCGATACGTACACCACGAGGACGCAGACGGCTTGTATTAATGGCATCGTGACGACCGTGCTCACATTTTCGCCCAGAACCGCTCCGACATTGAACAAGAAACCCCAGAGAATCGCCAGCGCTTGCAGCATCACGTACACGAAGAAAAACGAGACGATAGTGCGCGCGCCGTCGATGCGCCTGAAGGCCAGCTTCGGAAAGTCTACGAATACCATCCGGAGCGCAGCTTCCCAGCGTAAAATGCCCTCAAAGTAGCGTCGACGCCACAGCACCAGCTGTGTGGCTCGAAAGGCTTCAAGCTTGTGGCGAGGCGTCGTCGATGCAAGTCTCTTCATGTTGCTGGTGCTGTAGCTCTTCTTCTTCTTCTTTGGTAATTGCATGGTTACGTCGTGGTGCTGACCGGCAGCTTGCTCCCAAACCGAAGACACGGTTTCTGGCTCGGGGATCGACGATGGACGTGGTGGCCGCGAGCTGTGCGTGGTGGAAGCGTCTGTTGAGAATGGAGCCATCTGCTTGACCAAAATCAGTCCAATTGGCTTCTGACGGCCTCTCCTTCGACGGTGACTCTGTTGGTGGGGCTTCTAAAGAGCTTCTCGATGCTTGTCTCTGCCAGCAACGGCACTGACGTATTTTAGCTGTGGCTGTTTGCTGTTGGGTGATTAAAACTAAAATTGCTTCTATCACCCAACAGCAAACAGCCACAGCTTTAAAACTAAAACTGCTTGTAAGCTGATTCCAATCCTACAATTTTAATAGGTATTAACCGATTAAACTAAGGTAAATGTATCCATCTCAGGTGTCATCATGGCATCCTTCCTCGTTGCGTCATTGCATTTTGCTAGTCAGTAGATAATTCTTCAAGTAGATAATCAGCGCCGTAGACGTTTGCCGCAGGCAATGGCGAGCTTCCTGCAGTTACGCTCAGTATTCCACGATATGTAGCGATGCCGTAAGGTAATCCTGCTGCTCATGCCATAACCCATGAGTCATGGGTCTCAAACCTGACCTGTGCCGGGAGCCTCTCTTCGCGGACCAATTGCCGGCTTCGCATTGAAGCCTTCAATGTTTGAGAAAGTTGAAGCGCTGAGTGAGCCCTCGCACTTCGTCTTTCGGCGTCGCACCCCATAACACACGATGAACTTAACAACACTAAGTTAGTGCCACTAGCACTGGGCCCTTGCTAGTAGCAAGGGCAAAACACCAGCACTTATCGACAATGGGAAGGCAGCAGAAAGAGAAATTAAAGGCCCCCTAGTGTCTGACTCGCCTCTTCGTTAACTGTCCTTCCTGAGAGTGTCTAGACAACCACCACAAAGGCTACGTGGTGACGAGAGAGAACGAAATTTAGTACCTGAATAGGCAAGTCAATCATGAATCCAATTACTCGAGCAGGACTGGGAAATACATGTTTGAATTTGCTGTAGGATAAGTATATTCCTGACGGGAGACCCCACCCCGTACTGTAGGCTAAAAAATCCACAGCCATCGCTGGACAGCATGACTTTATTGCTCAACCACCCATAACCGCTATTTAGGAGTAGGAGTAGTTATTCCAGCTTATTTCCGGAATTGTCCGGCTTTCTCGACATTTCGCGATAAGACGCCTTAGTAAAATCAAGTCACATCATGTATTATCGCGTAAAAGGCGTCTGTACCAGATAAAAAATTCATGCGGTTGAAGAGTAAATATAGACTAAAACTTCACGATGAGGCGCCATGCAACCGACCAGCTTGCATTACGCGCGGGATTCACACTGCGAGAGGCAATGAGGAGAGCTTCGCGAGGTCTGGACACTCCTGCTGGCACAATAGGGCAAGAGATTGCGGCGGAGAAGATGTTTGAGGAGTTCCTCACTTCAATAGGATTATCGAGAGTCGATTTAGATGGCATACATAAAGCTCATAGAGAATTAGCTAGTCTCCCGACCCAGAACATGTACTCATTGCTAACAGCTTTTTCGATTTACATACAGACGAAGAAAAGCAACAAGGCGAGAGCGGCGGATGGACTACTAGCAAAATCGACAGCGCTAGGGTATTTTTCACAAGTTGTGAACATGCTTCGCGAGCGCTACACCAACTCTCTTGGTGACCCTAAGAGAATTGCCAAGATTCGGGACAAAATGGCTAGTTACATAGAAGAGAGGAATTTGCGCGCAAATGTGCAAACCAATGACGCTCCTGGGTGTAACGTGGATGATCTAAGTGTACTCGTTGGGTATCTAATTGCGAAAGCTGACGTGGCTACCGGTTTGAAGTCTGTACATGATGCGGCTCTGTTGACTATGATGTGGCATACATTTGGAAGAGCTGTCGATACCTGCTTTGCACGTAAACAACAGCTCTCGATTTCAGCTTCTGGAGAGCTTTTCCTCCACATTGCCAGGATCAAAACCTCTATGGTTCAAGGCGTCTCAATATATAAGTCCCCGGAGAGATGGCAGCAGTGTATGCTTCACGCATTCGGGTTGCTGTTTATCTGCTACGACGAGCCCTCCGAATATTTGTTTCCGTTGGCACCTAATTTCACAGAGTCCGACCTTCCTGGTAATAAACCGTATTCACAAGAGGAAGCTGTTTTGTACTGGGGTCAACTATTAGAAGACGATAACAGCACGTCGGAGCCGCCCCAAAAGCGAGAGAGAGAGAGACCAAATATCGCAAGTTATATTACCGAGGTCATTAGAGATTCGTTGAAGTCGATGCCTCCTGATCTCAGCCAAACGGTGACGCCGAATATGACCAGCCACTCCATTTGCCGTGGAGCCGCTGCGTACGCCAATGCGTCGCCGAAGCTGTCGATTCAGTGGATTTCTACTCGCGGGGCTTGGCTGTTGGAGTCACTAACCAAGGCGTTTGCCTACATTGGAACGACAACAAAGGAGGATCAGAGCGTAGCCAAAGTGTTAGCAGGGTACCAAGCTCCAGACCTACCTGTGGTAACGCCGACAATTCGTGACCTACAGCAGCGTTTGACGGTACTGGAGTTTGGTCAGCTTGTGACCCTTCGAGACGAGCTGTACCGCCACGTACTTGGTTTCCAGGACGCTCGATTTAATGTCGCATTGGACGTCGTTGATTGCACGGCTGCATCGCTGCTAATGCACATGGATGAGGTTCGCATCCACATCGAAAACACCACCAGCACCTCGGTCTCGTCGCGCTACATGTACGAGCTGCATCGCGGTATCGCCTCTTCAAACGCTCGTCTTGGCTCCTGCATCACGATACGAACATGCTGTGAGTGGGGGGCGTACCTGAGAGCTCACTGGAAGACGGCAAACCACGTGCAGCCTAGCAATGCCGTCGCTGGTAACGACACGCTGCTATCATCCACTCTTAACAACATGCTAGCCCAGCTTGTGAACATTAGCGAGCGACTTGGTCGCCTTGAAGACTCGCAAGCCCAGATGCAGAGCCAGGCCTTAGGGAGTACTCAGACGCAACAGCAGTCACCACAGCTACCTACGGCTGTTGAGGTTGTCGTCCCAGCTTCAGCATCAGCGTCCACCCTTGCTGGATGCCTGCTCATCTGGTACACTAACCACATATGGCAAACGGTTAAAGGTAAGAAGGAACAAAACCAGCGTGCCGAAGCAAAGGCAGCAGTGAACATAATGATGGTACTGTACCAGAAGCCGTACCAAGTCCCAGAGGAGCCTCCACGAGCCGACGTCGCAGCTTACAGTGCCTGGAAGCACGTAGTCTGGGAGCTGGCACTCAAGCTGGATACAGCCGCGAACCAGCGTCTCCACGCCTTCGACCAAAAGAAACCAACTCGCAAAGCTTCGTCCCTTCGCAAGCGCTGGCGCCTGCTGCGTACGCCGCATCCTGAAGCGTATCGCTCGCTTGGAGCACAGTATCTTATCTTGAAATCCAGTGGGTCCCTCGTAGATGCCTGCACACCTCCATCGCATCTGTGGTCAGCAGTTGACTTGGATTGACAAGCCGTTGGGCAGCACAGTTCAGCAAACATAAGCACGAGCAAACAGCACTCACCAGCATCAACACCATTCTAAGGCAGTACACCACAGTAGATAGTTCAGCAATCAGTACAGCCTACATTACAAAGCATCACACACCACACACAATGCACACAACATGTTACAGCACACAGTACACAACATAGCAGCACATGCACATGCACAGCCCAACACAACACTGCAGCATACGCACAACACACAGCACAGCACGCCCAATCCAGCAATACACGAGCAAATGCACATCACAGCATGTACATACATATACCGCATCACACGCGTCGCTCCATAGCACACAGCACAGCACCAGCTATTGCAAACACACCACAGAGTACAGCACAAACACAATCCACGCAGCACAGCTTACAACTATCTGCCCCCGGCTGGATTCGAACCAGCGGCCTGGAGACGTAGTCTCCCACTCTACCGCTGAGCTACGGGGGCGTTGGGGTCGGAGAAGGCACGCACCGTGGTCTGGAGTTGGAGCTGTGGCTGGAGGCTTGAGGGGTACGCTTGAAAATCGCTGAATGAACAGCGAAGAAGACTGTCGCAAGGTAGCCACCTATTTGCAATTCATTGAATTGTTATTTAAGCCTATCCACTGTCATCCGGAAAAAATAATCCGACCGTGATTGGCCGGATTCCACCCGGCATGACTCAGTCATTCCGTATGGCGACCATCCGGACTGGTGTCCGGAATCGGCCAATTACTGTTATTTAAATTTAATAATTTTAAACGAAGCAGAATGTTATCCGTGATGTTACCCTAACTACTGTATCGGCGACCCACATTTGTGAGGCGCCTCATGCTTCGCGGTCCACATTAAAGCATCGGAATCTGCCGTCCGATAATGCGGCTACATATCCGATCCGAGCCCGGCTTCGTGTGTAGCCTGTCAATCTGTGCAGAATCAACACGGAGGATGCTGCAAAGAGACGCTGACGTAGCTCTACAAAAGGACAGAGTGATGGAAATCAAAAAGTCGAGCAGCAGCAATTGTGAGCTTCCTGCAGCGAATCTCTGGGTTCGTCAACCCCGTCATCTCGCGAATGTCTCGCTTGGGTTTATGCGCCACCAATCGGACTTGGTTATGTCAACAGCACCCGCTTACAATTTACGCAATCGAAATGTATTCTTATCTCTCTTAAACCATATACTATTAGCTTTCACATTACAGTTGCCAAACGCTTCTATCCTTACAAAACTTACAAATCTTTAGTCAACACCCCTCCCCACTTCAACTGCGTCAGTAATACTCAACCTCCCAAACTTTTCATGCAAAATCGGCAACGTCATTAAGATCCTCACTCATTCCACAATTTGCGCTCAAGCTCGCAAAGTTCGTAGACCCACACTCTTCTTCACCATGATTAACGACACACCCGCTTGGAAGGCTCTGGCTGAGCACGCCGCCGAGATCAAGTCTACGCACCTGCGCGAGCTGCTGAATGACGACGCGCGCAATGCCGCCATGCGCACGGAGCAGCAGGGCATCTACCTCGACTTCTCGCGCCAGAACGCCACGTCCAAGACGCTGGACTTGCTTTTCGAGCTGGCGGAGACCGCTGAGCTCAAGAAGAAGCTGCAGGCCATTGCCTCGGGCGAACACGTGAACGCCACGGAGGACCGCGCAGTCATGCACATGGCCCTGCGTGCCCCGAAGACCGAAAAGATCGTTGTGGACGGCCACGACGTCGTGCCCGATGTGCACGAGGTGCTGGACGCCATCCGCGCCTTCACCAGCAACGTGCGCGACGGAAAGCTCGTCGGTGCTACGGGCAAGCAGCTCAAGAACGTCATTTCTATCGGCATTGGCGGTAGCTACCTCGGCCCCGAGTTCGTGTTTGAGTCGCTGCGCTACGAACCCGTGGCTAAGGCCGCTGCAGAGGGCCGCAACCTCCGTTTCCTTGCGAATGTGGACCCCGTGGATGTGGCCCGTGCCACCAGTGGCCTCAACCCCGAGGAGACACTTGTAGTGGTCGTGTCCAAGACCTTCACTACTGCTGAGACTATGCTAAACGCCCGCACGCTGCGCAAGTGGCTGGTGGACGACCTCACCAAGAAGGGATCGAGCGAGGCGGACGCTGTGGCCAAGCACATGGTGGCGGCCAGCTCAGCTGTGCCACTTGTGCAGCAGTTCGGCATTGACCGCGCCAACATCTTCGGCTTCTGGGACTGGGTCGGTGGCCGCTACAGCGTCACGAGCGCCGTGGGTATCCTGCCCTTGGCTTTGCAATACGGCTTCGACATTACTGAGAAGTTCCTGGCTGGTGCTCATGCCATGGACAAGCATCTGCTCGAGACTCCGCTGCGTAATAACCTGCCGGTCATCATGGGTCTGCTTGGTGTCTGGAACTCGTCGTTCCTGGGCCACAGCTCGCGCGCTCTACTGCCGTATTCGCAGGCGCTACTACGTTTCGCTGCACACATCCAGCAGGTGGACATGGAGAGCAACGGCAAGCGCGTGACTGTGGAGGGCGTGGACCTCCCATTCCAGGCTGGAGAGGTGAATTTCGGTGAGCCTGGCACGAACGGCCAGCACTCGTTCTACCAGCTCATCCACCAAGGTCGTGTGGTGCCTTGCGACTTCCTGGGCTTCTGTGAGTCGCAGAACCCCGTGCAGCTTGCCGGCGAGCCTGTGTCGAACCACGACGAGCTCATGTCCAACTTCTTCGCGCAGCCGGACGCTCTAGCTCGTGGCAAGTCTATTGAGGACCTGAAGGCTGAGGGTGTGCCGGAGAAGCTCCAGAATCACAAGCTGTTCCCGGGCAACCGTCCGTCCATCTCGTTGCTCTTCAAGAAGCTGGACGCGTTCTCCACCGGCCAGCTTCTGGCTCTGTACGAGCACCGTACCGTGGTGCAGGGTGCCATCTGGGGTATTAACAGCTTCGACCAGTGGGGCGTGGAACTCGGAAAGGTGCTGGCTAAGCAGGTGCGTGCCCAGTTGAGCGCTTCACGTACGGAGAATGCTCCCGTCAAGGGTTTTAACAGCGCCACTACCAGCATGCTGGAGGCATACCTGGCGCACAAGGCTTAAATTGCAACTACCGGTACGGCTACGGAAGAATCGTGACTCGTGGCGTCGAGTATGTGCTCATATAGTAGTTTGCTTTGCTTCTTCTGTCTCTCTATCAAATCGTCCTAATTACAGACAACGACGGTGAAATCCGCCATACCATACAAATCCGCGACGAACACTTGAAGTTCAAAATAAAAGATTTGAGCAAGTTTTTATTTTAGCCAATGAACGAGTAAATGGAATTGACTGGTTCCTACGGGCAGCATTACATGTACAGTTAAAAACTTTATCACTTTGGAAATGGCGCCCCAGCGCTCCTATACAATTCTAACCAAGCGCGAAGCAATCGCGACTGCTGAGGCGTTAGGAAGCTGCCAAGCCGCATCAAAGAGACTAAATATCCCTCGGACGACTCTTCGCGACTGGCTAGACGATAAGGAGAACATTCAAGACTTTGCAGGTGCTCAAACCAGCAAAACCTTGAAGGGCCAGGGCGCTGCGCCGTTAATATCCTTCTCACACGATTTGGTAACCTTTATGAAGGATGTGCGGCGAGAAGAAGGGGTAAACCGTCTTGTCATTAGTTTATTTTACATTGTGACCTAAAACCGCTAGTTTTTTAGTATTTATGTACAGGTTTAATGATTCAATATTTCAAAGAGCAGCAACCGCGATGGCTTCGAACGTATCTTGCTGGTAAGGAAAGCGATGAGAAGGGTCTAAGTGCGTTAATGAGACTATGTCAGCGGTTTGCAGCACGGTAATGTCTTTTAATTTTGTTGGTTTTATAAAATTACTTTCTTTAATAGTGTGATAGTCATGGATTTACAGTGCAAAAGCCACAGTTCGCAAAAAAGAATCAAGCCGAAATGATCGAAACGCATTGGCAGTTTGCCGTGAAGTTTTGGGATGAATATGGGTCATTTCCTCTAGACGCAATCTACAACGTCGATGAAACAGCAGTGTATTTCGATATGCCACCTTTAAAAATTTGGGCTTTGAAAGGTCGGAAAGGATCAGCCAAGGTCAAGCGGACCCAAAAACACTCCGGGCGATTGACTGCTGTTATAACAGCTCGTGCTGACGGTTCGTATTTTTTTTTATTTTTTTGCATTATTTTTTGTTTTACTAAATATAATAAATGTTTAAAGGAAAGAAACTTCCGATTCTTTTTATTCTACGTGCGAAGCCAGGTGGATCTATCGAAAAAGAGGAGCCACCAACATATCCGGTTGGTCATGTATACTCAGTGCAGCAGAACGGTTGGATGGATGCCAAAGTGTGGGCGATATATGTACGAGAGCTGCTCAAGTTCGAGATCGAGGCACCATCAGTGCTTATACTTGATAACTTCGACGCACATGTCTCAGCAGAAGGACTTAATGTTGTTGCCGAGACAACGTCGGCACTGGTTTGCCAACTACCGCCCAACAGTACAGCAATCTGCCAGCCACTAGACGTTGGGGTCATGGGACCTTTAAAAAAGAAAATTACGGGAAAGTGGCTGTCAGACATCAGCGCGGAGACGAACTTTGTGGCTGAAACTACTGAAGACTCGGCGAATGACGCGGCATCTGTATATTGTAGCAAGTGTGGACGGCTGGAATCGTGCACGTGCTGGGAGGAGTGCATCTGCTGGGACGAGTGCATGTGCGATGGAGAGTGCTGGTGCCTGCAGGAGTGCGTCTGCGTGACACCAAACGAAGACGATAACGGAGCGAGCGAATCGAATACTGCGAGCACGGACAACGAGGTCATGGATGAATCTAAGGCAGAGAACAAGGCGGCCAAAAGACGTCTTGCTACAATACAACGGACGATCGAGGCTTGGGGGGAGCTTTCAGAAGAAGTCGTAGCGAAAAGCTTCCGGAAAGCTATTCCGATGTGCCCGATAGTTGAAATATAATCGCATTTTTTCTACTTTGCTTTTGCTAATTAATTCGTTTTATCTACCAATAAAATTGTGCGACGTATTTTCCTGTCGAGAAAAAAAAAAAGAACTACTATGGAGGATGGCGCTCAGAGGGTGGCGGATTTCACCGTCGTTGTCTGTATCGGTGTTGGAAGAGCGCCAAGAAGTGAAGATTTTTTATCGTTGAATCAGGAAAACGCACATGCAGTGCATGATGCACTACTACTGTAGTAGTACTACGTAGAACTGTAGTACTGCAAGAAATCGCTTGGGGTACTACTACTACGAGGTTTTGGTAAAACAAATAATACTAGTAGTATGAAGTAATACTTCCTAAAGTACTACATTTCAGCTCCACAAATATTAGTACTATTAAATTCATTTTTTTAGAAGCGTTAACTTACAAGTACTAAGAAGTAGATAAGTAGTTTCACAAAAGACTTTTTGATACCACTTTGATCCTGTATTAATGTTCTACTACTGCTCCTCGTATTTCTTTTCAGTTAGAAACGCTGTTCATTTATAATTGTCAAGAAAAAGAAGCAAGAATCAGATCTGGACATGGAGATTTCCACTCCGCGGTTCGTGTCCGTGTCGACTCCGTTGGGCACCAAGCAAATGACACTCGCTCCGTTCGGCAGCGATGCACAATCCAAGTCGAAATCACGCAAGAAATCTCGTCAGAAGAAGCGCAAGGCCGACGAAGTTTCATCGCCGACCAGTAGCTCCATGTCAAGCGAGAGTTCCAACGCCTCCGGAGCCCCCACGACCGTCGTTAATCCTTCATCATCTTCTCTATCCAATGGCAGCTGGGTGAAGAACCTACAGCGACGCGGGGGTTTCTGGGGCGATGCCTATTGGTACGATCTGCAGCTGGAGAAACGTCTGCCTCTAGCCAAGCCCATGCTGACAGAGCTTGTGCTGGCGTTGCCTCCGTGTGGAGAGAAGGCAGTGCTGGACCTCTGCGCAGGCAGTGGACGAGTCTCCGCAGCCATTCTAGAGGCGTATCCGACAGTTAAATTGGTCCTAGTGGACTCTTCCGAGCAGAGACTGACGCTGGCGAGTCAAAGACTGGAAGCGGTACAAGCTGGAGTCAAAGAGAGGACGCAGTTCGTCACGAAAGTGGTGACACCCACTGCGACTACGCAGCTCTGTGACGAGCCCGTGGACATTGTGGTCGCCTGTCTGGCCTTCCACGTTCTCACGGAGAAACCAGCACACTATGCACCAGCAGAGGAAGAGAAGACGATGGCGGTTGAAGACGAGTACAAGCAGCTCTTTCGAGCCGTGTGGAAGACACTGCGTCCCGGAGGACACGTCATTTATGCAGACCATGTGGGTCAATTGGCTCTGTTTAAACAGCTAAAGGCGCTAGAACAGGCTGGCTTTGAGGACGTGGACTGCGCATGGCGTCAAGATGATTCCTTCGTCGCGGGTGGACGGAAACCTGACAGCTCAACTGGCTAGAAGGAGACACTTTTTGTGACGTTGATATAATTGGAAATTGGGCTCTTAGTTGCTGTTTATCTTAGAATTTTGTTTGAGTACCCGGTCTCATGCCGAGACGCAGTGGTAGTCGACCCCCCTCCGCATCATCCACCAAGAATTATGGCCTTCTAATGCGTCGGGCTGGGGTCCCTCCCGGTGTCGCGAGCATCGTCTTCATGCCGTCTACTGTTTCAGTGACGGTAGGCGGCATATCAGCGTTCTACTCGGTCGTTCTACGTTGCTCCAACCCTCCAGAACAACCGGTCACAGTATCTCCAGTCAATCTCCCTACTGGACTACGCGTTCTACCAGCTTTACACGTCTTCACCCCGGAAAATTGGCAAGAGCCTAGGAATTTTCGAGTGGCGGCTGTGAACGGCGGTGTTTTCGAGGAATTACGAGGTAGTGCTGCTATTATCGAGCACTCAACAAGCAGTCTGGACTCCCGTTTCCACGGTCGACGGGTCATTTATCTCCCAAGTTCAGTACAGGCCTTTGTGGGTCCTCGAGACGGGTATCATGTCTTTGCCACGGGTAAAGCTGCAGCATTCTCCTCACAGCTCAAGCTCAAGCAACCGACGCTGCATGAATTCACCGAGATAGAGCTACAACGCAGTACACTGGAACCTCGACCTTTAGTGGCACGTTGCTCTACCCTCGTGCCAATGCCGCCAGGGGCGATCGCAGCCGTAGCAGCCGTGGAAGCTGCGAACCAAGCAGTACAGCAATCACGTCGGAGACTTTCAACTGCAGCTACTGTGGTCAAGGTTATGACTGCAAGAGGCAACAAAACGGGGACAGAGGAGCTAACGACAAGTGCAAGAGGCTCGTTGGATCGTACCAGCGCTATCGTGAAGCTCTCGGGTCACGGAGATAAGACGCTGGCGTTGTACCAAGACGGCGAGATGGTCACGTTAGGATCTTCTTCTACTGCCTGCTCAAAGGATGGCGGGACGGATGTCGTGCTGAGTCGCATGTTGCTAGATGTTGCGTGTGGTGACAAACACGGCGTCGGTGCGAGCGAACAAGGCTATTTGCTGACGTGGGGTGAAGTCTTTGACTGTAGGAGCAAGACACGAAGTGAGAAGGAGACTGCGAATGCCCCGAGAGTCGTTCAGCCACTATTACACAAACGTATCGTTCAGGTAGCCTGCGGTGCCAGTCACAGCTTCGCTTTGGCTGAAGATGGCGACGTGTTCTCGTGGGGGATCGGTCGGAGTGGCGCGTTGGGTCACGGTCTGAACGTTCACGAACAAACGTTCGATACCGTGATGTCTCCAATGGAAGTATTGGCTCTAAAAGGCCGTCGGGTGGTGCAGATCGCTTGTGGAGACTCACACACTGCTGCGTTGCTTCAAAGTGGCCAACTTCTAACGTGTGGACAGCGAGGATATGGGCGTCTGGGTCGGCAAATAGCAAACACTCCGGACGTTCTTGACGACGAGTATTCGTCGTGGTTTGGCCCCGTAGTCTTCGCGAAAGAGGGTGTAAAATGCACCTATGTGGCTTGTGGTGCAGCTCATACCTTGGTAGTCGCGGGAGCTCATGTACTCTACGCTTTCGGGTGGAATTCTAGCGGCCAACTAGGTGTTGGAGACTGTCGTGACCGCCTCGTACCTACAAGAGTCGCGTACTTTGACGCTGTGGATACCTTGTCTCCGTTAGCTATCGCTTCGGTGGCTGCAGGCAAGCAGCACTCTCTGGTGTCGTGTCCTGATGGTAAACTATTCGCTTGGGGGAACGACGAAATGGGTCAATGTGGCTTGAACTCGTGTCCTCAAATCTACACGCTCCCACATCTCGTGAGGTCTCTCATCGGACTGCGAGTCACTCAATTAGCAGCAGGTGAAGCGCATTCGGCAGTGCTAACGAGTCACTCGCAGCAGCATCTCGAAACGTTGGAGAGAACACAACCCATTCAATACGCACAGCTGGTGGACTTCTATGAGAGTTCCATCAAGGACGATACAGAGCGACGCGCTCAAGTGTTTGAACGCGCTCGACGGTGTCAATTAGAGCGTGCAGCAGCCGCAAGACGACGGAAACCTCCCGTGGATCCAGCTACAGAGGCGTTGGTTAAGCTGCTAGAGCTTCAAGCTCTGGTTGACCAGGACGAGGCGTTAGATGCACGAAGTACACGACCACAAACAGCTAGAGCTACATCCACTCGCTACAGTGCGAAGAACGAAGGCGATGAAGCGGTCGTACGGTGCTCAAGTGCCGCAATGATACGTCAAGCTCGACTTGCCGTGTTGCAAGCTCCGCTCGCTACATCGACGACAACTTCATCGACTCAAAAGCCTTCAGCAGCATCCAAGTCGTCCAAGTGTCTGAGACAACGAAGACCTAAAAGTGCTGCGAGCTCTACCCGAAGACAAAAGACTTCAACCGAAGGAAAGCGACAGCTAAAGACTACACTACTGCACCGGAATATGCAGCGAACAACGTCGGCAACCCCTTCGTTTCCGGCTTCGCGACCCAAGTCGGCCCATGCAGGTCAACAGTGAGGAGAGCGGTGGACACTTCTGGCCTCTGCATTGAACCTTGATAACGTGGCAATCCTACTCCCTACATGGCTTTGCTATTATTGTGCTCCAACTGCTCAGTTTAGTCAGGAATTTCTTTCGGTATCCAGTACAACATGACGCTGCTGGACGAGTATCGTCGCTCTATCCAAAATCGAACAGCTCCCCGTTCGAACCAGAACCGTAAGCATCGAACGCGTCAACTCACGCCGTAGGTTTTCGCACGTGCAATATATTCCAGTGTGCATTTCATTAATGCCTTTGCTCTTACAAAACGTAGACTAGCCGAAAGTGAAAGTGGACGTCGTACGCCTGAAACTCTGCAAGTAGATAATGTACCTGGAACCAACCAACAAGCGGTACAACTGACTGCAAGACAACGCGTCAGCAAGCTCCGAACGAGTAGGAATACCAAGCTGCAGGAGCTGTCTCGAGGGATGTCTCGAAGCGGGCCAGCAACTTCTGAACGACGTGACAAGGTGTTCTTAAACCAGGACGACTCGGCACCAAGTCGCGCTCATGAACCTCAACGACAGACAGGAAGACCTGCTTTAGAGCTACTGTCACAGTTGATGCAGCCCCATAGACCAGATCAGAACAACAATTTAGGGTCCGCATTGACAGATGTTCCGTTGCAGCTACTACAAGGCGCTCGCGTTGATTTACGTCGCTGGAGTGTGATTGTATCGGACCAAACTTTATGTCGCATAGCTGCTCACAACCACCGCATCACCAGGACCAACCTCAAGGCTCAGAAGCTCCAGGGTCTACTAGCTGGTTCACGTCAACGCAGCTTTTTATTTACCAAGGAGGAGGCTGAAAAGCTGTCGGTATCCTACTCTGACGCTCGAAACCAGACAACGAAGTCATTGCTACTTACTGGAGCTGACGCTATCACAGACGCCGGCTTAGCTGCGATTGCTCTGGCTTTACCAAACTTACAAGAATTCGCGATCGCTGGAGCTGTACGCATTACAGATGCAGCACTTCGCGTTGTAAGCGAGTATTGTACGCATCTCGAGCGTCTAGACCTGTCCACTCTCTCTAACGTACGCGGTGCTGGGTTAGCAGCTCTTGCTGACTGCTGTGGTGCCTCATTAACTCATCTAAGTCTCGCAGATTGTCCTCAATTAGGAGATTGGGTGCTGCGTCGATGCTTCTACGCCTCTCCAAGACTCACACATCTCAACTTGTCACGCTGTCCACAAGTGACCGATGTCTTGATCGAAACATTGGCCACGCAGTGTCTACAATTACGAAGACTCGAGCTCAGTGGCTGCTTGAGGATTTCGGATCGAGCAATTGTACGAATCGCCCGGAGCAGTCCTCATCTCGAGTATATCGCGCTTGATCGACCTATCGGGGTACGAGGTCTTGAGCACCTCACAGACTCTTCGTGCTCAGCATTGGGAGGTTGTCCTAACCTACGCGTTGTCTTGTTATCGGGTAGTAGTGCTCTAACAGACGCTGGCGTGCAATGGATGGCTTCTCGCTGCACACAACTTACACGACTGGATCTGTCAGGAGCGATTGGTCTTACCGACGCCACTTGTGCAGCTTTAGGCGCTAATTGTCCAGAGCTAATGTCGCTGAAGATGAATGGCGTGAAAGGGATTTCTGACGTGGGGCTACGGCTCTTAGCGGCTGGATGTTGGAAGCTTGAGCTGCTACATACTGCGAATTTGTATCTCGTATCCGATGGCAGTAACCGCGATTTTGGACTCGAAGGTCTCCGTGCGATCGCTAGTAAATGCTCCGAGCTACGAGATCTCAACTTAAGTGGCTGTTTCCAGCTTCAAGAACGTGCTTTAGTGGCGATTGGAGCGAGTTGTTGTGAGCTGAGGAAACTGAGTCTACAGGCTTGTTACGATGTCACTCTAGTGGCAGTCACTGCTGTGCTTAGAGGGTGCCAAAAACTGACAAAACTTGATCTTTCCGGTGTGCGTCGATGCGATGATCGCATGCTTCGAGCTGTAGCCAAGTATGGCAGCTCAATAACGCAGCTTGTCGTTGCTGGATGCGACCGAGTCGGAGACATTGGACTTCGGTATCTCGCAACGCGTGCGGATCAACTGGAGCTGTTGGATCTCACTGGATGTCGATTGGTTTCTGACGCTGGACTTAACGCACTGTGCGATGCATTTCAGCGACCCAAACTGGCACATTTGATACTGGCAGACTGTTCTCTCATCACTCAAGACCCGATTGCACGTCTGGCATTTGCTTGTCCTCAACTACTCACACTTAGTGTGCACGGTTGTCGAATTTCGGCTCGAGTGCTGCAGAGTTTGAGTTCTTCGTGGCCTTTTGGCGAGTTACGGCTTGGCACTCCAGGGAAGAACACCCAGGTGGGTATTTTTCCTGCTCCACGAGCGAAAGATCGACGATATGTCGCGGAGTTCGGTACATCCTGGGCGGCAGCAGCAACCATCCAGGTGCGTAATATATTCTCTTAATATTTCTTATTTTACTAATGTTTATTTTACCAGAATCTATTTCGCGCTCGAGTTGCTCGTCGACAAGCTCTTGTGCGACGAGAAATTGCACTACAACATGCCGTTGCTAGAAGACTGCAGAGTATTTGGCGTGGTCGACAAGCCAGAAGAGAAGCGTTGGTTTTAAAGATGAAATATTCTCGTCTGGAGCAATGCGCGACGTTAATTCAGCGAAGATATCGAGCCACAAGACAAGCTCGACGTGCGCAGAATGAAATGCGTGGGGCTTACGAGAAGCAACTTCTACAAGCTGTGGTTCTGATTCAGCGTCGGTATCGAGCAATGCGCGTGGGACGCGAGGCCCGTCGACTGGTAGCCAGAAGACGACGCGAGTTCATGCGGGAGACGCAAGCAGCGACCAAAGTGCAGCGTCACTTCCGACGAAGAATTCATCGTAACAAACTGCGGTTAGTGCGAGCCCAGAAGCTCGCGCGTTCGAGACAAGAACGCACGGCCAGTGTCCAGATCCAGCGTCGATATCGTGGCCACAAGGCTCGACGACTGGCGATCGATCTGCGAGAAGAACAACGTCGCTTTTTCGAGCTTCAGCAGCGTTGTGCAGTGCGAATTCAAGCTCAATCCGACGA